TGGTTTGTAGGGAATTTAAAAGTTCATTAGTTAAATAAATGCCTGTTTGCAGATACTCCATTGTGGGACTTAACTCCCAGGTAAGTGCACAAAGAGGGAGCAGCTTCTGGCCATCCAGATGTTGACGGACTCTGTGTGTATATGTGTCAGTGAACTTATGGCAATCCTATACATTTTATAGGATTTTCTTAGGCAAGGAATACTCAAGAGGTGGTTTTGCTAGTTCCTTCCTCTGAAATACAGCCTACATCACCAGGAGTTACCTGGTCCCCTTAATCATTCATCATTAGCAAAACTGAACAGACCTACAGGGGGTTCTCTAAACAAGGTCCAACTCTGATTCACTTCTAAAATTAGAGGAGCTTGGGTAAGCAACCAGGCACCTATCCAATCAGCATGTTTCAGGTTCTGACTTAGGAAGTGTTTGCTGGCTGCATGTCTGTGTGTTCAAATGCCAAATAATGGAAATATTTCTGCAGTATATTGCTGGAAGTTTCACTGTTCCTCTTGTACGTTGGCATGTTACGTTCAATCCACATATACATAAAGGTAAAGGTTTCCCCTTAACATTAAGTTTAGTTGAGTCCAACTCTGGGGGGTGGTGCTCATCTCCATTTCTAAACCGAAGAGCTGGAGTTGTCCATAGATGCCTCCTAGCTCATGTGCCCGGCATGATTTCATGGAGCGCTGTTACCTTCCCACTGAAGTAGACCTGTTGATCTCACATGTGCATGTTTTCGAACTGCTGGGTTGGCAGAAGCTGGGGCTAACAATGGGAGCTCAGCCTGTCTCACAGATTTGAACCACTGACCTTTTGGTCAGCAAGTTCTGCAGATTAGCAGTTTAACCCGCTGCACCACCGTGGCCTACATATACAAATCATGCATCAATGATGTACTTCACTGACTTTTTTCATGTAGACGATGGTGTTGCATGGAAGCACATTCAGATGCTATTGCTTTAGAAGAGTTTTTCTTTGTGTAATTGACTTGGGCCCAAATTATCTGAAGATCCATATTCTCCCATTCAAGTAATGGAACCAGAGGCACTTCACTTGGTTCCATTACGTTCATAGATACATCGTGTGAAAATACAGAAGAGGACCTTGAATTAATGCAGTTGGTCACCACTTCAGCTGCCATGGTTCAATGTAGTTTTATAAGGAACCCGCACAGATATAACACCGGAGTGCGTGCTGCAGATATAATGATGATGATGATGAGGCAGAAATAACACTTGGTGAATCTACACTGCAACATGAATGCAGTTGACACCCCCTTTAACTGTCATGGCTCAATGCCATGGAATCATGGAAGTTGCAGCTTGGCAGAGAAGGCTAAAAACCTGGTAAGACTACGACACCCATAATACTATAGCAGTGAGTTGTGGCAGCTGAAGTGGTACAATCTGCATTAATTCTAGACGGGCCCACACTATCTTCCTCCTTGGTGTCCTTCCCATCAGCTGGTGAAGACTTTATTTTAGGAGGGAAGTCTATATTGTGTGTTTTTAAAGAAAGATACTCTGAATTTCTTCTCATTCCAATCTATATTTAATTATAACCTGCATTTTTGTAGGTTTAAGTACACTTCAGTAAACACATACAAAAATCTGTTTATTAAACACATTTTAAATATTTGTAATCTTGGATGGGAGCCCCCGGTGGTGCAGTGGGTTAAAGCACTGAGCTGCTGAGCTTGTTGACCGAAAGGTCGCAGGTTCGATTCTGGGGAGCGGCATGAGCTTCCGTTGTCAGCCCTAGCTTCTGCCAACCTAGCAGTTTGAAAACATGCAAATGTGAGTAGATCAATAGGTACCGTTCTGGCGGGAAGGTAACGGCCCTCCATGCAGTCATGCCGGCCACATGACCTTGGAGGTGTCTATGGACAACGCCGGCTCTTCGGCTTAGAAATGGAAATGAGCACCACACCCCAGAGTCAGGCATGATTGGACTTAATGTCAGGGGACAACCTTTATCTAATCTTGGATGGGAGCTAACCAATGAATTCCAGGTTTTCATAGGCTATATTTCAGAGGAATGAACTGGCAAAACCACCTTTGGCTAGACTTTGCCAAAGAAAAACCCAATGGAATTCATGGGGTTGCCGTAAGTCAACAGGCAACTTGAAGGCGCATAGCAGTCTTCACTGAACTCCAGTGCTGTCGTAAAGGCAGGAAGTCATGCATTTTTTTAAAACCAATCCTTGTTCTGTCGGAAATGCCAGGAGTAATATTGAAAATCTGTTTTAATATACATAATACTTTATGCGAGTCTAGATTTGCGTGCAAGATGTGTTTGCTTCATTTAAAATAAGCAAATATAGAAAGGAGCAAGTGAAATGGCTCTCTGAGAGTCTGCAAAAAGGTTTCAATACGATTGGGTTCTCCCACACCATCTTCCTAAGAAATAGAATTCAGTGCTACATTGTACACTTATGAATATTCGGTTGCAATATTACAACTATTAGCTGCTGACCTCAACATACTGTCCAAGATCATTGATGGGGAGATGTGTTATAAAGTTCCTCTTAGTTGAAATGTTGACATCTTTCCTGCCTCAAGACACACTTTATAAGCTGCAGTACCCTCAATTGATGGAGATTGGAGTGTGGCAATGCAGGGTCCAACTGTGTCCCATTGTTGGTTAAGCATCAGACATCCTCCAGTACCTTCCAGAGATTTTCTGACAATTCTGCGATATCACACTTCATGTGTCTCTTCCGTTCTCTGCTCTCCAATGGTCAACAAATGGCCTTGTTGTACAGGGGGTTCTGCAGCAGGACAAAATGTGGTGTTGGAGCAGGGAAGTTCGGTTGTTGTTTACCTGGTAGAGAATTCTGATCTCCACAATGATCACAAAAGTGAATTACAGGTGTGCATCTTTTGAAATCATTAAAACAATGCCAAGTATTTGCATTTGCTTTAACCACATTCTGTTTTAAATCTATTGGCTGCCACCATACCCTGTGATTTTTTACATAACTCAATTTTCAAGTCACAGGGATTATTCTTAGATCATGGTGAAATAATATATTCTTATCTGAAGTAACTGATATCCTCTGTTCAGATATCAGCCAGCATGTCAACATCTTAAATTATGAAATAGTTTTCTCAGATCTACAGATATTCACAGGAACACATCAGCAAGCGAGAGTCCTAAAGTGGCAGGATAAAACCCAGCACCTCAATCAGTGGCTGATATTGAATGTGAGACTATACCCTGGGCACACAGAAGACTAAGAGACTTGGAAGGCACTGAACAGAATGCACTATGGCACCACAAAATGCAGAGCCAACCTTAAGAAATGGGGCCACAAAATGGAGTCCACGACATGCAAGTGTGGAGAAAACCAAATCACAGACCACCGATTACAATGCTGTCTGATCCCTGCCACATGCACACTGGAGGACCTTATAGTGAGGCATTCCAAGTGGCCAGCTACTGGTTAAAGGGCATTTAATATAATGCCAAGTTTTTAAACTTTGTGTTTTTTAAATACATTATAATTGTACCCTTGGTTCGCTTCTGATACGATAAATAAATATCTGAAGTAACTACACTGGAATTGCATTACATGTTTGAAAGACCGGATTTTGATGCTTTGAAGAAACCACGTAGATTGTAAGTCATCCAGTATTTGTCATATAAATTCTGCTGCTTAGGCATCAAAAATTAAATCTATTCAGTAGTATAGTATTTGCGCATGCCCAGCTTTCTCCAATTTGTGCCCACTAGATAGGAATAAGTTCCACTGAAAATTTAGTGACTTCTGATCAAATATTGGGATTAGGATCGAGGTGGTGCTGTTAAATGTTCACATTTGCTTTCACACTGACTTTAGGGTATATGCATGCATACACAGTGCAATATTTTCATATAGTTAAATTATGTAATGTAATACAAAAGGGTACTTTTGGTTGCAATCTTAAACACACTAGAAAATAAGTCCCATTGAGGTCTCCGAGTAAATATGGTTAGGACTGCAGTTAGTAGCACAGTTCCCTGATCCTTTAATTTTGTTGCCTGATGCAAAAGCCTTGCATCCCCCCACCTTTTAATCATATCAGAAGCAACTTGAGAAACTACAAGTTGCTTGTGGTATGAGAGAATTGGCGGTCTGCAGAGATGTTGCCCAGGGGATGCCCGGATTTGTTACCATCCTGTGGGAGGCTCCTCTCATGTCCCCACATGGGAAGCTGGAGCTGACAGACAGGAGCTCATCCCATCTCATGGATTTGAACCACCTTCAGCTCAGTAGTTCAGCCGGCACAAGGGTTTAACCCATTGAGCCACCACGGCAATTCCCTAAAATTACCCTCAACTACTGTCTTCTATGGACTATATTATGTTGGCCATGTCCTTGGTGCCAGAATTGTGACCATACACAGTGATGTCATTTGATTCCTTGACAATGACCTGAGTGAAACTGTTCCACCTAATCTTTCAGCCAGGATCTAGATCAAGCATCTTCAAACTGTGGGTCACCAGCAATTTTGGACTCCCAACTCCCAGAAGCCCTAGCCAGCTTATCAGGAATTTTGGGAGCTGGGGGCCCAAACAGTTGGAGGGCCACAATGAGGATGCAAGATTCAGACACTGATCCCTATCACCTCCCTCAGGTAACTTTTCTAGACATTTCTGGAAATGATGCAGGAAAGGGAGTCTCCACCACTTCCTATCAGTGATAGCTTGAACTCCTTTGGCTCTCTGGGAACAGGTGAGACTTTGGGAGAAGTCTTGGCAGGTCAGATTAGGCCTGGGGTTCAACAGTTAATGATCTTAATTTGCCATTGCACAACTGAATTTTGATACTGCTTCTAGTGCTTAATTTGTCAGGACATGTTATTGTAGTACCGAGTTCTTAACCTAATTGGATTTTGAATTTGAAGCTTCTGCACCCCTGCTATGCAGTTTGAGTAATAATGAAGAGACAAAAAACACAGAATGGTGGTGATAGCTCAGTGTGAATGAAAAGTCTCCCAAATATTTGACTAGGTCTTCTTCAACACTTCAGCTTTATTGTACATGACATAAGTAGCAAGGAGAAATGGGATTCACAAATGAATGGAGGAAAGAAACTCCTAATGGATGATACTTTCAGCTGAAACAACTGTTAAATGCTGCATGTTACATATACCAAGAAGTCCTTTTTAAAAAGCAGCCTATGAAAAGTGTTATATCCATTATTTATCAAAAGAGGTATATGTTTCCAGGCCTGACTGCATTGCCACTGAGATTCGCAGTATCTGCTTCTCACAAAAAGGATATATCTAGCCATATAAGGTACAAACTAAAAGATTAGCTCTCATGCAATTTTACCTAGCTCATTTTGGCATAAAAAAGAGAGAGAGAGAGAGAAAACAGGAAACACACAACACTGTGGAACATTACAAAATGTGGGTAAGCTTCAACGTAATTCATTTCAACCCCAAAAAGCAATCCATGCGTGAATTTTCTTTCCAGCAACAGCAAGAGAAAGAGAAGGAAGATATGATATTATCAGGCCATGCTGTAGGAGTGCTGTGATGGGAGTTAAAACGCTTCAATGCTGGCTAGCAATTTCCCAATGCAGTGGCAGAGAAGCATTGTGGTGAGGCTCTACTTTTTGCCAGGGTTGCTTGCTTGTAATTCTTGCATATAGGAATCAATGATATGTGGAGGCACCCCTTGCATAAGTAGTCTGAAGAACGAGACCCCACCTACAAACAAAGAAAAGGCAAAAGTTAAGGCAACCCAATTAACAGGTGCTTGTTTTAAAAAAAATGAGATCCAGTTATGAGCAACCTGATCCTACATGCTTTAGCTAGTGAGGTGTAGGAGAGATTTCTCTTGAACTTGCTTCAGTGTAAACATGCGCAGGCTCTCTAGCTTTTTCTTACACTGTATCTGATCACTCCAATACGAGGGTTTAATGACAAGTAATGCCTCCACCTTCGTTACTTGGGTTTGAATGGGAATATTTTAATAAATCAAATGCAGAAATAATCCTTAGAATGTGCTCTTTAACTACCACTATTCACTTTTTGACATAATCACCAGACAATTGGATACACTTCTGCCAACGATGAACAAGTTTTCTGAAGATGTCACGGAAGAAGTCGACATTCTGTTTCCGCAACCAGTGCCTCACAGTTCTCTCATCCTAGGTCCCTATCATACACAGATCTTCCACTAGCCAAGCAAAGTAATAATGTGACCCACACGTTCTTGTGAAATGCCAATTATGCTTGAAATTTCTCTCTGAGTGATACGACGATTGGCCTGAATCAATCTGTCAAGCTTTTGCTTGTGAAACTCGGTAGTTGCTGTCATAGGACGTCCAACTCTTTGTTTGTCACGCGTCAGATGTTCCCACCTCAACATCTTTAAACTTACTCGCCCAATGATGCACAGTACTCCTATCAACACAATCAGCATAAACGGCTTGCATTCTCTGATGAATCTCTTTGGGGTGACACCTTCTGCTGTCAAGAATTCAATGACTGCATATTACTTAAGTTGCATTGACCGACCGCCTGAGCAGGGTTCCATACTTTGCACTTTAACAACACAACTGTTCAATGCTAAGGCTTCCTGCCAAAGTGGAACTGTAGAGGAGAGTCTACTGAACAAGCCAGTACCTGCCGCATACCAGTACTGCCATCTGTTGAGGAGTTACTAAGGTGGAGGCATTACTTTTCATTCAACCCTCGTACTTAACTTTATGTAGAATGAGAATCATCAAGAACTCTGTATTCCACTTCTCATGACAGATGGAGATGTTGAACCAGTTAAGAAGGATGGGTTGTTTGCCCATGAGTCTTTGATAATTCAAATGAGAGTTTCTGCATCTGTGCTGTGCATAATTTGGGATCTTCGGAGCTATTGTTGTATATACTCTAGTATAAGCCTAGTTTTTCAGACCTTTTTAAGGCTGAAAAAGCCCTACTTTCGGCTCTTGCACTTTACTATTGTTCCTGCCCCTGTAGCTGTAGAACACTAACTTTATGTGGCCCTTACAGCCCCACCTTATCATCTGGCTCTTGCACATTTCTATCAGTTGTATTGCACAAACCCTTGCCTCGCTCCTTGGTTTTGAAATGTCCGCTATGTTTGGCTACTGGTTGTTGCATGATGAATTATGTTTTTATGATGTTGTATATGTTTTTTATTGTGTATATTTGAATACTGTTTGACTGGGCTTGGTCCCCATGTAAGCCACCATGAGTCCCATTGGGGAGATGGTGGCGGGATACAAAAAGAAAGTTGTTGTTGTTGTTGTTGTTGTTGTTGTTGTACAGCCCTTTTCTTTTGAGCTGATTATGAATGATCATGACAATAATTTTTGATTTTCCAATGGCTCTCCTAGGGGACAATAAATTGTACTGACACATATAATCATACAAGTGACACAAAAAGTAGTTCATTAGCCTACAGAGTTTTACGGTGCCTTATGCCTCATAGCAGATATAACAGGGCCTACTATAAGGCATAAGGCATTGTACAGTTGTCACAATTTCTTGCAATATGTCTGGACTCAGAGCATGCACAACCCCAACTAGTAAAAAAAAACTTACCTTCAGATGCGTTTCTGATTCATTCTGTGAATCAGAAACACAAGGTCCTTTCGAGGATGTATTTAATCAAACTTCTCCAATAGGTTCCAGGTCTTACCAAGCCACTTTTTACCACTGACCCTTAGTTGGGTAGACTCTTTTCCACCCAATGAAAACATAAAAGACCATTTTTCTGCAGCCTACTACATCCAGTTGAAACCACATTCTATGATTTTGACTTAAAATCACCAGAGCCATGCCACTGAATATGTTTTTAAACCATTCTCATGGGTTATGCTTTTCTAATCTTCTGTGAATGCCAAAGATAGACAAAGAAAAAAAATGGGCATGCTTGTAAAGCATTCTTTAAAGTTGCTGTAATGTAAAATATTCAAGTAAAATTAGGTAACAGTTGGCTATCATTAGCATAATTTCTCTAGGCCTCTGATCTTTGAGGCAAATAACTATCTTAAGATGCTGGAATGCTGTGATATTCAGCTTGCTTATTGATGTATAGTAAGCTGTTAACCTGGCTCATGCTTTTCCCTATCCTCTTGAGATGTTATTTACAAATGCTATTAGTAAATGGTTGCATCACTACAGAGAAGTGCTTTCACAAGCATTTATGGGGCAGTTTCGGTGATAGTCGTTAATTAATAGCACAATATTATAAAAAGTCAGTTTATTACCACATCAGTTTGATTACCCCATTTTCATTAAATGCCATAATGAAAATTACGCCATACGCCAGTAGATTTTGTATGACATGACAACAGACATAAGCTTCATATGCAAGGACCATATGAAAGCTTACCTTAGATGACACTATACATTCAAAAATCCTTACTGTGCAACTAAGGAAGAGAGAAAGAGAGAAGTGGTAAGCACTTAACTTGCTAAACACAAAACTACAGAACTCGTTGAGTGAAATTATGTCCACAACTATGATAAGATGGTAATTGAATCCTTAGTCATGTAAAACAGGTAAGAGAAAGAAAGAGAAGCAAATGGAAAGTCAAAATAGGCAGGGGTCCAGCACTACTTTAACATTACCATTAATACATTAAAATTTATTAATTATGCACAAACACAAAAGGTTGGCTCTGGCAACTAGTCTAGAGAACACAGCGGAGCCAATCAGATTGTGTCACTAACCTAGCATCAAAACAACTAACTATGCTAAAATATAAATATATATATATATATCTCCAGGATGTTTCTCAGTAGAGGGAAAAGCCACACACATAGCAGTGAACTATAGATATATATATATATGTCAGAATCCTAACAGGCAAAATAATCAAGTATGAACAGCACAGTATAAAAAAACAACACAATTCACATTCTATTCTGTATCTTTGTAAACATTGCTGATATTATGTAACAAAAATATATTGATTCTGCATAGACCTTTCTAACTATATGTTTTCAGTGAGGTTCGAATGGAAGAGTCCTTAAAAATCAAATTTAGGTAGACTGGTAATTATATATTACACTGGCCAACACACATTTTGGTGCCTCAATTATGTGTTCTGTTTCTGGGTATATTTCTCCTGCTTATTCCAAAAATGGCACCAGTTTTCCCCCATCGGCTCTAGTTTCCAAGATACAGAATATATGCCGTATACTATTTATCTGCACACCGGCAGAAAATCATGGTAAGAAACTAGAGCTGATGTGGACTATTCAGTGCAGTTTTCTGAATCCCCAATAACCCCTAAAAACCAAGACACCAAGAATTATTTTGTTGACCTGTGTTCTACAGTGTTATTTGTTACCATATATTTTCTCAGAAATAAGTTTGATGGAACTAACTCTCTAGTTGACTGCATTGTTAGTTTGCCTAATATGGCCATTTTTAATAATTAAAATGTGATAATTGGCTTATAAAACCAATGTTAATTATTGATTCGGCTCTGAAGTACAGTCTACAGAATTACCAAAATTTTTTGAAATAAACTAATCTTAAGGTAAAGGTAAAGGTTTCTCCTTGACATTAAGTCTAGTTGTGTCCAACTCTGGGGGGTGGCACTCAACTCCATTTCTAAGTCGAGGAGCCGGCATTATCCATAGATGCCTCCTGGGTAATGTGGCTGCATGGAGTGCCGTTATCTTTCCACCGAAGCAGTACCTATTAATCTACTCACATTTGCATGTTTTTGAACTGCTAGGCTGGCAGAAGCTAGAGCTAACAACAGGAGCTCACCCCATCCCATGGATTCGAACCACTGACCTTCCAGTCAGCAAGTTCTGCAACTTAGCTGTTTTACCCGCTGTGCCACCGCGGCCCCTAAAATAAACTATCTAGACACAATTTTTGATGTTGGCTGGATGCTCCTAAGAGATTTGTAAGTGAAACAGATTGCATTACAGTGTGAGGTGTTAACTAGAGATGAAGTGGAAGTTCTAATTTAATATTTCCACAATCTAAACATTAGTTCCTAGATTCTTGATTAATTTGGCCTTCTTTATCCATGTCATAGCCAGTATGCCATGGAACAAACATACAATGTAAGAACAAATGGGAAATGCACACTTCTCATGCAAACACAATTTATATAGGAAAAAAGGAATGAAATGGAAGGTGATGCCCAGTGGAATATGAGTTTAGAAACCTTTTTCTGCCCCGCCAAGAAGATTGGTTCTCCTGGGGTCATTACTCCATGATATATCACTGCAGAATTAGAATATTTGTACCAACATTTATTCTTGGTTGACATTCTTTTGCATCATTGTTTAACACTGTTAAATCCCCCCTCCCTTTCTTTTCTGTGGTCTTAACATCAGATGTTATTTACTTAATGTGTCTCTGCTGATAAAGAATAAACAATATTCCGGTCTCAAGAAATTGAATGTCATAAGCGACCCCACAACAGCAATATGACGGGAACATTTCTTAGGTCACAGTTCTTAAGTCACTTAATCTGGAGTGGTACTGTTGACTTCAAGCATTACTTGAGAATAAGAGGTTTTACAAGTCTGGTTTTTCTGGGAAGTATTCAGAACTCCTTTGAATACTCAAAGTAATCTAACATGTTCGATTTCAATGAGTTCTGTCTTTCCACATCAGCAACCAAATAACAAGTTTTTTTGAAAAAACGGTAGGCATGTACTATGCCCAGGAAATCATGCAACTCACCAGATGTTGACTATCACAGTAGAGAGAAAAATCCACTTAAAATCCGGTTTCTGCCTTCTTCAGAATTCTGGGTTTTGTAGTTTAGGGAGGAGCCTTTAACAGCCTCACTAAGCTACAAATTCCAGAATTCTGCAGGAGGCAGAAACTGGATTTTAAGTGGATTTTTTCCTCTAGTGTAATGAAGTGCTATAACTTCTGACATTTCTTACTATTGGATATGCAGTTGGTGATGGAAACTTCACACCAGCAACTTTTGGAGGGTTAACTGCCCTTGGCATTTTTAGAAAGTTCCCTTTCTAAAGACCAAATGATATGTGAGAACTATTGATAACACTTTCCCCGCTTATACCAGGAATAGTTCTCATGCTAGTCTAGTGTATGGTTTGCAGATGGGGAGTATAAAGAAACTGGAAATGGAGCAGATAAGCTTCTAATAACCCTTCACAAATTAGAAAAATAAAAATAAAGCTCAGTAGCATCAAGAACATTGAAAAGTAGTGATACAGTATTTCTATGCTGGCTTTTTAAAAATAGTTTTGTTAGGGTTGTCAACAATACAATTGCAGACTGAATTTATGAAGAAATATAAGATTGACAGATGAAAAGCTTATCAGTTATAATGACAGCTTAGTCTAAGTTGAACATTAACAACTTGAACTGAAGTGGCTTTTTAAACAGTTAATCATTTCTCATGTGCTGTGGAAAAACGTGTTTGATTAAAAAGCATTTCGTTTGGGTAGAGAAATGGATAACAGAAAAAGTCAAGGAAGAAATGTAAATTTCTTATGCACAGTTATATCTGTGCATGTGTATATTTTTCATTATGATGTGTTACTATTTGCTTAAGTTGCTGCATAAGATACATGAGATATTACACATAGAAAGTCCCCAAACAAGTGTACATTCAGTGTATTAGTCACACACTAGATTAATTGAATTTTCTATATGTAACAATGAATGTGTTGTCAAAAGCTTTCATGGCCAGAATCACTGGGTTCCTGTGCGTTTTCCAGGCTATATGGCCATGTTCCAAAAGCATTCTCTGCTGACATTTCACCCACATCTATGGCAGGTATCCTCAGAGGTTGTGAGGTCTGCCACAGATGTGGGAAAATGTCAGGAAAGAATGTTTCTGGAACATGGTCATACAGCCTGGAAAACTCACAGCAACCCAGCAAAACAATGAATGTTATATATTTTTTCATACCTATACATTATTATCATAATATGTACTATTCCATTTAGTAATTTATTGTATTTTTATGTTCATTTGTTTTTGAATTTGTTGTACCCTGCCTCAAGCCATCAGGAGAGGCGGGTAATAAATAAAATGTATTATTATTATTATTATTATTATTATTATTATTATTAAATGCATGCCCAAACAGAATAATAGAATCATTGAGTTGGCAGATACCTCGTGGGCTATCCTGTGCAATCCCCTGCCAAGAGGCAGGAAAATCGCATTCAAAGCACCCCCGACAGATGGCCATCCAGCCTTCTCTCAGGAACAGATTGCACTAAGTGCTTTATCTTTTCTTTAAAGTGAATAATCCTTTGTCCAGGTGGCTTTTATGTTAAAAATGCAACCACTGAAAGTGTAGTCTCAGGCTTTCTACATATCATGCAAAATGATCTTGTATTACCTTAAAGATAGTGAGAAAGAAATTGGTGGCATAAGCTTTTGTAGAATAATCCTGCTTCATCAGATGCAACTAGTAGACTTTTGTAGCGGAAAGTCTATGAAAGCGTATGCTAGGAAATGTTTTCTTCTCAGTTAATTTCCAAGGTGCTACAAGATCCCTTTGCATACTGATATTCCAAACTAATATGGCCATGTCTTTGAATTCTATATGTCATGTAGCTTAGCCTTGAGATGATCTATTTATCTGTATCCTTGGCATTCAGAAATATAACCTTCCATAGTCACGCAAGACTAATTTATCAACATTTTATGACTATTTTCCATGTAAGTTATTAAACATTCTTTCTCTATATCAGCGGTTCTAAGCCTGTGGGGCCCCAGATGTTTTGACCTTCAACTTCCAGAAATCCTAACAGCTGGTAAACTGGCTGAGATTTCTGGGAGTTGTAGGCCAAAACACCTGGGGACCCACAGGTTGAGAACCATTGCTCTATATAATATTCTATTAACATTTAATTCATCTAACCCACCCACTCCCAAACGTTGTCCTATGTTCACAAGCATCAGATCTCTTCCTGTGATTTTTCTCTTGCTTTTCAGTGCCCCAAATGATTTCACCCAGGAGAAAAGACCTTACCTTTAACTTCCAATTTGCATTCAACTTCTGCCTCACCAAGATTGTTGACAGCCCTGCAAGTGTATGTGCCACCGTCATAAGGGCTGGGTTTGCGGATCTCCAAGGTACAAACACCCTGATTGCTAAACATCCTGTACCGTGGATCATTACTTATAATTATTTTGTTCTTCATCCATGTTATCTTGGGCTGTAGTTGAAAGCACAAATACACACACGGACACAAAAAAATAGGAAATAAAATGTGGTCAGAATATAGCTAGTTAGATCTCGAATAATTCCTATATACATAGAACCTATTTAAGTCTTAGACTAGGCTCTACACCAGGCATGGGTAAACTTTGGCCCTCCAGGTGTTTTGGACTTCAGCTCCGACAATTCCTAACAGCCGGTAGGCTCTTTGGAACTGTCGGAGCTGAAGTCCAAAACACCTGGAGGGCCAAAGTTTGTCCACACCTTCTCTACAGTTACAAAATAATGAAGTACAAAATAGGCAAATGCAATTATAAATTTAAGATAATTCAAAAATATTTAACAGAAACATAACTCTTTACTAAAATATTTGTTAATTTAGGCAGGCATCTTCAATCTGCATCTCTCCAGCTTCTTTCAGTCTCTAACTCTCATAAATTCTTCTTTCAGTCTCTAGCAGAGGCTGGATGGCCATCTGTCAGGGGTGATTTGAATGCAATATTCCTGCTTCTTGGCAGGGGGTTGGACTGGATGGCCCATGAGGTCTCTTCCAACTCTTTGAGTCTATGATTCTATGTTTATAACTCCCATTATTTCTTCTTTCAGTCTCTAACTCCCATAATTTCTTTGAACCATCAGGCTGGGAGTTGGAGGCCAAAACAGCTGGAGGGCTGCAGGTTGAAAAATCCTGAAGAGGGTCTAAATATTTCTAAGGCGCAGGTCTTGACTGATATTTGAAGATAAGCATGATCAGCAATGGGTTGAAGTTGGATAGGAGACCACCAAGGAATGACAGGTGTAGTAGGCAATATTCACAACTGGCAAAAAATATCATGGTTTCCTTTATTTAAGAAAATCCCATTAAATTCATGGGATCATCACAAGCTGATAGGCAACATGAAGGCATATTCACACATGGTATTTGTTAGAGCCTTGTGTTTTGTGCACTTTCAAGTCATTTCCGACGACTTATGACAACCAGATCATGGTGTTTTGTTGGTCAGAAGTTGGCAACCACTGCATTTTTTTTGATGTTGAAAGTGTGTGACTACCCCCAAGCTATTTAGTAGGGTAAAATTACTGCAGTTTGATACCATGGCACAATACTATGGAATCATAGAACCATAGAGTTGGAAGAGACCTTGTGGGCCATCCAGTCCAACCCCCTGCTAAGAAGCAGGAAAATTGCATTCAAAGCACCCCTGACTGATGGGCATCCAGTCTCTATTTAAAAGCCTCCAAAGAAGGAGCCTCCACCACACTCTGGGGCACAAAGTTCACTGTTGAACCGCTCTCACAGTTAGGAAGTTCTTCCTCATGTTCAGGTGGAATCTCCTTTCCTGTAGTTTGAAGCCATTGTTCTGCATCCTAGTTTCCAGGGCAGCAGAAAACAAGCTTGCTCCCTCCTCCCTATGACTTCCCCTCACATATTTATACATGGCCATCATGTCTCCTCTCAGCCTTCTCTTTTTCAGGTTAAACACGCCCAGCTCTTTAAGCCACTTCTCATAGGGCTTGTTCTCCTGACCCTTGATCATTTTAATTGCCCTCCTTTGGACACATTCCAGCTTGTCAACATCTCCCTTCAATTGCTGTGCCCAGAATCTAGACACTACACTCCTATTGATGCAGGCCAAAATTCCATTGGCTTTTTAAGCTGCCCCATGACATTGTTGGCTCATGTTTAACTTGCTGTCCACGAGGACACCAAGATCTTTTTCACACGTACTGCTTTTGAGCCAGGTAACCCCCCCCCCCCCATTCTGTATCTTTGCATTTCATTTTTTTCTGCTTAAGTGGAATATCTTGCATTTGTCCCTGTTGAACTTCATTTTGTTAGTTTTTGGTCCACCTCTCTAATCTGTGAAGATCATTTTGAATTCTGCTCCTGTCTTCTGTCTTTTTGAAGTTGTAGTTTGGTGAGAAACAAGCCCTCTTTGGCAGAGAAGACTAAAGACTATGTAAAATTACAACTCCCACAATGTCATAGCATTGAACCATGACAGTTAAAGTGGTGTCAGTCTGCATTGATTCAACAATGCATATGTCCCCTGGTCCAGCATATATTTAGTTAATCGTGCAAGCTCCTGCTATTAGTCCAAAATGAGTGGCATTCATTTTTGTTCCCTTCAAAGATGCCCCACTGTTTTTTTAAAAGTCATATTTCCCTCAATTGCATGCAATCGTTTGGATCATCTAGCAAAAACAGCCCATTTGAAAAAGGCCATGTTCATTTAAATACTCATGCACTATTATGTGTAATTTTAATAAGATGACTGTTTTACCTTGGGATTTCCTCTGACACTGCAGTTCAAAGTTGCATTGTAACCCGAAACAGCATATGTGTTAGCTAAAGGCTGAGTAAACATTGGTGGCTCGGTGAAATTGAAATCCTCATAAACTGGGTTTTTGTAGACTTTACCTGCAAATAACAAGTTCAGAAACTGTTAGAAATTGCAAAAGGAGTTATATCCCCCTCTTTCAGACAACAGATTCTGTATCAAAGGTACCAACAGATACCTTGTCTCAAACTGTCCTAGGCTTCTCAATGCTTACAGCAAATGTAAATCTCCCCCACCATGGCTTAAATCTTCCACAAGCTCCCAAAATAGGATGCTAAGTAGTTTACAGGCTTTGTAGACATGTTGGCTTTTCCTTAATATGCAATGACAAGAACCATTCTAGTAACTTCTCTGGCCATCTTCCTCCTTGCAGGAGATGTCAAGGCTTAGCCACAGGACCACAAATAAAATTGGAATTTTTAAAACAAATCATTGCCTAAACCAAATACAATTATTGCAGATCAGTTGGATGAACTAATCTTGAACTAAGCTTGTGAGAACCCAAATAGCTCTTCTTGGAAACACAGATGCTGAATGATTGTGGAGATCTGCACAATCAGTTCACAACACGTTGTCAGCTAGGGAAATTTTCTATTGCAACATTATACAATGGGCAAAACTCCAATTTTTCTATAATCTATCATTGGTAACTTCAGTATCTGAAAAGTTTCAATAAATGAATGGGTTTCCCACTGTCCCACTCAAGCAAAGACAGGTATATTTATGTTTCCACTCAATCAAGGGTTGAATATCTTGTATTCCATTCCATTGTGAATGTACAATCAAACCCTTTTATTCTTGGTACAATTGGGGATCTATATATTTGATAAATCTGTCAATTCTGGTTTCTCTTAGTATTATAGAATCATAGAATCCTAGAGCTAGAAGAGACCTCATGGGCCATCCAGTCCAAGCCCCTGCCAAGAAGCAGGAAAATCACACTCAAAACACCCCCGACAGATGGCCATCCAGCCTCTGTTTAAAAGCCTCCAAAGAAGGAGCCTCCACCACACTCCAGGGCAGAGAGTTCCACTACTAAACAGCTCTCACACTTAGGAAGTTCTTTCTGCTGTTCAGGTGGAATCTCCTTTCCTGTAGTTTGAAGTTATTGTTCTGCATCCTAGTCTTCAAGGCAGCAGAAAAAAATTTAGTCTGATGTTCAGTATGTTATGCTTCTGTATGACTTTGTGATTTCTTTTATTCAAGTGCATATGAATTTCTCTTCATACATGCAATAATAAATAGATTTTTGCAAGTAGTTCCCTCTAGTATGTAGTTTTTGATGTTATTCTCAGTAATATGTGTACTTTTTAACTAGAGTACTCTATCACAATTCAGAAAAGTACAAATAACTAATCAGACATGTACTATTAGCTCAGTAAATGTGAATGATAGAAGTTCACATTAAAAGGGAAACTTAATCAGCTTGTCTGATGCTGCTTCCCAAAGAACTCCAATACTTCTTTCCTTGAGCTTTCTTTCTTTCCATATGTCAGTCCCAAAATTTTAGAGTTCATTTAGCTCACCATCCTTGGCAATCACAGCACTTTCTGTTGTCATTGTTGCATCATCACTGAGACCGCACATGTTTTCAGAAAAGATCCGGAAGTAATACTCATTGCCAATGACAAGTTCAGTAATGGTAGCACTGGTTCGGTGGTAGTGTTCAATAACAGTGAACCATTCCTGCAAGAATGAAGCCCAAGTTAAGTAGTTCAATGAGGTGACAACATCTATTCAGGTGAAAAGCCCATTGGATTTAATGGGACTAATTCCTAGAAAAGTGTCTATGAGCAAGGACTTAAATCAGGGCTTTGTTAGATGACATCTTCTATCATACGTGGTCAGCATAGCTAATAATGAGTAATGCTGAGAGCTGGAATTCAACATTTGGAGGGCTGCATTTGGTTAGGACTCAGGCCAAAATTTGCAGCCATTAGAGTACAATATGTTGCCAAGCAATAAGGAGATATATCAATAAGTTTAGACTCAGACATGTGAAACAATAATTTTGAAGTATGGTTACTTATTAAATAAATGTGTATGCTGCTCTTCAATACTAACATGTTAAGGAAAGCTGAAATAATTGTTGATTTAAACTCAAGCTTGCTTCACACATGCCGCTGGAATTGCCATGCATTGTTGACTATAGAGTTGTGTGGAGAAGCTAGAGTTTATTGAAAGGTGTGTTTTCATGGTTCATGGTTTTTCCACTTTGGCAGGGGTCTTGTGCCCTAACCCTCATGGAAGAGCCTGTGCAATGTATTAAAAATGAGAACATCTGTTATATATAAAATATTAAAAATATTTCTAACCATGAACAATAAGTACACAAGAATATTAACAATTAATGTATACACATGTAGGATATATAACAGACACACTATTAATATAAGGGAGTAAAATACAAGAGGACTCATGTGCTGTAAGTGACAGGCAGGCAGGCTGTCAAAGGCATTTTTCGACTGGCAAGTCCCAACAATTCAGTGAGTCTGCTATGTTACTGAACAAACCAAATTGTGGGTGAAGTAGCCAACAAACAAGATAACAAAGTCATAGCAAAATAATTGAGTAATAACTGGCTATTCCTGAGTATTGTGGAAATGTTTCTCAAATCTTTTTCAGCAGTCAACCAAGTAAGAAGGAACTCATCCAAAATTCAATGCCTTGACTTGCACCTGCTTAATGTGGAAAAAATACTATAACAATGCAAAGTCTACCTACCATACTCTTTTTGTCAGCTTTTTGAATGGTGTAACCAGTAATGTTTGCATTTCCATCATCCTTGGGTGGCTTCCATTCCAAAGCAACATTTTCTCCCCATACATCTACTATGTTTACCACTTGGGGTGGGCCTGGGCGATCTGTGGCAAAATAAGTGATATCGTTGTTGTTTTTTTTAAAAAAACTTTTAAATTATTAACATATTATTTTTCTCAATTTCTATCATTTATGCTGTAGTGGAGGATCCAGTCTTTCCCAGTGACTATTTTCAGCATTGTAACTTCCACCCAAGGGTTTCTATAAATGAGAGCTGGCACAACAATGAAAGTTGTGAAGTTGAGGATGACTCCTCCTGCCACAATTGTTGTATAGGAGTCTGCTGCAAATGTAGGCTTAGCCTTTTCACATCTCCAGGCAACATTGATTCTCAATGTGGAGCTTCTCTTTAATCAAATTACCATATTTTCTGGCGTATAAGATGACTGGGTATATAAGATTACTCCCAACTTTTCCAGTTAAAATATAGAGTTTGGGATATACTCGCTGTATAAGACCACCCCTCTTCCAGCACACCAAATAAAATTTTAAAAAACATCATTTTTTATTTCAATATGGTAATTTTCCTATTACCATACCTCCTTCTCTGCCTCTCAGATCTCACATATGCGTGCCTGCGCTGCTTCACTGCAGTCCTCAAGAACGAGATCTGAGAGGCTGAGAAGGAGATATGGTAATAGGATACAAGGGTGGGGCAGATGGATGAAAGAGGCATGCTTTTCTGGGCACAGCACTGCTCTATCTCTTTTTTCCATATCCTGGGCATCCCAGATGCCTGCAGCTTGCTCCACCCTTCATTTACACCTTCCCGGTGAGGCAACCCCTTAATGTGGTCCCCTTAATGTGAGGGGACCACATTCAGTCACTTCTTTCCACAAATCCTGGTGAGTGGATTTTCTTCTATCGTACTTGTACAGCACCATCCTTGCTGCTTTCATATGGTTGCCACATATGGTGGGGATGTGGCCACCATAGTTTTTTAGCTCCCCCCACCATATGTGGTGACCGCAGATTCTCCACTCCAGCTTGGAAGTTTCAGCACCCACCTTATAAGATGACACCTGGCGTATAAGACGTCCCCTAACTTTTGAGAAAAAAAGTAGTCTTATACACCAGAAAATACAGTAAACGTGGCTTCTGGGCTGTGGTTTAGCAGTCAGGCAGCTGAGAAAGAAGTTGGGTTGCATGATGTTAAAATCACTTTAGAGTACTGTGGTTCTCTTGCCACTGTTGCTGTTCTTTTTTATGGAAGATGGAATAGTGTTATAAAAATATGCCATATTTTTATCACACATGTTATAATGGAATACTACTATTCCACTACTATTATTAATAATGAGCCATTCATAAGTTACTGCAGATAGTAGGAAACTTTAGAAACTATACAAATGGATCAGAGAACAGTTCTGGAACACAGTAACCACCTTCTTGCTTTTTACTCCCAGCCTCTTTAAGTCTGTGTTTTAGGAAACACTGATGCATACTAAAGAACTGCCACAACTTTTATAGTTTTGATTTTTTTAAAGACTTACCAACTATTTGAATTTCTATTGTAGCTTTGTCCACCAAGTTGTCTACTTTGACTTTCATGTCGTATTTCCCAGAGTGGATCCTTTCTGCTTTTCGGATGAAGATGATAGTATCATTTTCACTGTTGCGGATGTTAATTTGGCTCTTGTCTACATGGGCACCGTTTTTCTTCCAAGATACCTTAGCTCTTGGTCTTCCCTAAGACCAAGGAAAGAACAAAATCTACACGGAGGCAAACTTTTTCTTGAATTTGAAAAAGAACATGAAATATAAGCACCCAAATCATTAGATTTTAATGGAACAAATCCAACAGTATTACTATTCTTCTCAGCAGCTGGAATGAATCACTCCCAGCCTGACTTATTGAACTTATGAGCCTTATTCCAAAGTAAGCAGAGTAAGGTATACAGCTGTAGTCATATTTAGTTCCTAGTGGAGTCAATGTAAAATAGTTATTATTCATGTAAATCCCCTTGATTTCAATGGGACCCTATCACAACTAATATGCTCTAGATGAAAGCCATTCTCTCAGTAATTTTTAGAATGGCCTAGCATGACTATTCCTATAAACTATTGAGACAATCCACATATTTTGCACAGCCACTCAACAAAATACCATTGTATTTGCTTTTACAGAGAAATACCATGCTAATCTATAAATAAGTTGTTGTTGTTGTTATTATTATTATTATTATTATTATTATTATTATTATTATTATTATAGAATACTGTTTTTCATTGGATAATAGTTATCATCACACAGAAGTCCACCTCCATTTTTGGGGGAGCAAAATTGGTATTTTGCTGTTCCTTGCATAATAGTCACACCTTTTATTCACAACAACCCAGTCACACCTTTTATTCACTCGCATGCACACACCTATACAGGCAAGTGAATGAAAGGTGCAACTAGGAGACAAGCGAACACCATAGAATTTGCTGTAACAAAGAAATTTCATGCTGTAATGGCCTGAGGGCCTGCCTCGTTTGTAGTCAAGGGAAGCCTGTAGCTACATTTTTCATCACATAGTAGTCACAACGTGTAATAGTAAATGTGCTGGTACGGCTGTACCAGGAGCTCCAATTTTATTTTCTTTCTGTTAAAGTTTGCAATCATAGGGCAGGCCACCTGTCCATCATAATTAAGCTTTGGTTCCACCCCTTGTTCAGGGCTCTGGGAGGGAAAGGAGCCATTTTGGGCAGTCTCACATAAGGAAGCTAAACTATAGGATGCAGACCAGCTCATCCCGTATAAAAGCTTCCTTTCTCAAGAACATCCGGGGATACAGAAACAGAAATTCCAGGGGAAAGGTCCCAAAAGTTCTGGCTGAGAGCGCACAGCCTCTCAGCCTCACAGCATCAGATGGAAACAGCCCTGAAGTTTTCTAAGAATTCTTGAAGGGAGAACAGTATTACAGATCCACGGAACTCCAGCTGAAATATCTACAAGCCTTGGCTGGTAGGTCTACTCGATGCCCAGATGCATTTGGAATCGGTAGTAGGATCCACATCAACGAGGCCTAGATAATAGACAGCCTAGGAGAGGTTAAAAGGGTTTTTTTCTTACGAAGAAAGTACAGTTAATCAAAGTCAGGTACCAGTCCCTTGAGGACTAGACTAAGAAACCCTTGAAGTGTTGTTTGAAACATTGAAGATTTGTTATTTGTTCCATAATAAAGACTTTGTTGTATCATTAACGACTCTAAAGACCATCACTTCAGAAAAATCCCTGAGAACCTCTCTTTGAGGCCCCCTGGCTTCCCACTGGTCTTAAAGTATACGTCCTATAGAAAAGACAGCTGTTACAGGCCCAGCATGTGACAGAACAGTAAAAGAGTGTGACTATTAAGCAATAAAATAAACTGGCATGCTATTTTCATACATCTTTCAGTCAATGTTATTCTTACACATTTTAAGAATTTATTTATTTATTTCCTATATTTATACCTCACCCTTCTCACCCCCGAGGGGGGGGGGGACTCAGGGCGACCAAAGCGGTGTCAACATATTAAAAATATTAAAATAATAGTTCAAACAAATGATTAACATACATCTATTTAAAAAGATATGTATTTTCTCTACCTGGAAAGGAATCACAAGATTTACAGCTTCTCCAACCCTTCGAATGTAGGTTTGCTTTAAATGTCTTGGGAGGCGAATCTTTGGAGGTTCTTGTATCAAAATGGAAAAGGAAATCATTGTTATTACCTTTGATTAACCAGAGTGGCTCTTGCTTTCATATGCTGGTCAATAAACTGACATCTAACCAATGTTTCTTAGTCTCGTTTTTAAGGGAAAATGATAATTAGAATTAAGGAAGCTAGAGAGCTGTAGGGTGCGCACACAGGCCCAGGGCTCATTGTTGGTGTAGTAAACCAAGATCTGTTCCATTGACATTGCTATTTCTGAATTGGCCCTTACATTTTTTTTGAAAACATTGCAAAGTTAAATTTTAAAAATCTTAAGTATTTAAAGTGAATTCTTAATTTGAAAAATTCACAGCTATACATAATTTAATGTCATTCTGATACTACCTACATGTATACAAATACCAGGACCCACAGGTCTACCCTTATGGAGTGTCACTACTACTGCTTCACTGCCATGACTTATTACTGTGCAGAAGCAGTAATATCTTCACTGAAAATCTTTCTACATAGAGATATTACTTTGTGTGCAGAAAATACTGTTTTCTACATGGAAAATCACATATCCTTTTTTGCAGAATCATCCAAAAAGTGCAAAGATTTGGTCCAGGATTTTCCTCACCAGGGTTTCTTAACAATCAACAAATTGCATTTCTGACAATTTTGGGGAAATATTTTTTAATTATTCTTTCCTTCTTTGTACTGGAATTATTTTAAAGTAGTGAGGATCAATGCCCAAAAGTGTATATACAGTAAGACCTGTATAACAGTGGAATCCATGTCCACAGTTTCAGTTACCCGCTTTCAGGAGGTATCCTCTCTAGGAATTTGCTAGAATCATCAGTGTGATTCTATGGTATTCCGAAAGTATCGACAGAGCTGTACTGCAGGATTTAACAAAATCCTAGAGAGGATGCCAGCTTCTAGGAATCTCTAAGTCCTCCAGCACTGACCCAAAGTTAGGTAATTTATGGGGTTTGGTCATGCCCATGGTTTCAGGTAAGCGGTCCTGTCAGTAATGTATCCCCTATGAATATCAAAGTGTAACTGTATCCTAACAGCTGGTAAACCAGCTGGGATTTCTTGGAGTTGTAGACCAAAACACCTGGGAACCCACAAGTTGAGAACCACTGCCATATAAGGAAAGAGGGAAGAAAGCAACTCTAGAAGATGTATGAAGCAGGAAAGGAAATAACAGATATGGCAAATTTTGTGCATGGTCACATGAGTCAGAAACAAAAATGGTCCATCTTTCTCACCAATAACTTCCTTGACTAAAATAGCCTGTGGATGCAACCGAGGATCACTGGGACCAGCAGCATTCACAGCTTTTATTCGGACAAAGATTTTCGATCCAGTTGGAAGACCAGTGATGGTGAACTTAGTTTTGTCGGTGAGCTCTGGATTAGCCACAATCCATTCTTCCGCTTAAGTGAAAGAAAGGCAAAAGGGAACAAGAGCAAACATCAAGAATTAGACATTTGATATGCAATCAAACCACTTCATAAAAAGGTAGCAAGATGAAAAGATTTTCTTCCCTTAAGGTATTTTCTAGTTCTTAGACTGCAAGAAGCAAATGTTATTTGATTTCCAAGGTTACACTCAACTTACAGATCCATTCTTCCTTCATGTTGGACAAACTGTGGGGCAAAAGAAAAATGCTATGCATGTGCAAAAGTGTAGTTATGTGTGAGGGCAAAATGAGGGCACTGCTCTTCCCAAATAAGAATTCTGTCCTCAAATGAAATTTTCCTTCAGTCCCCAAATTGCTAGTTTTTTAGAGAGTGAAATGTTGATAATTGGTCACACCAAGAGGTCTTAGATTTTCCATCTTAGTATTCCTCTAATCACTCTCTTGGTCATTTTCCCTGGGCTTCCAAACTATATTTCTAAATGTTCAAATAAAGTTTTAAATTACTGCAATGCTTGATGTTTGGATACTGAAGGAAAATTACATTGGGGGCTGACTTCTTATGGGGGGCAATGCCCTCATCCCTTTCATAGCTTTTTTCCCCTGTGTCAGGAGCGATTTGACAAATGGCAAGTCGCTTCTGGTGAGAGATAATTGGCCATTTGCAAGGATATTGCCCAGGGGATGCCTGGATGTTTTGATGTTTTTATGATCCTTGTGGGAGGCATCTCTCATGTCCTCGCATGGAGCTGGAGCTGACAGAGGGAGCTTATTTGCGCTCTCCCCGGATTCGAACCTCCAACCTGTTGGTCTTCAGTCCTACTGGCAAAAGTGTTTAACCTATTGCACCACCGGGGGCTCCTCCTTTCATAGCTATATCTCTGCATATGTGGCTCCATTTATCTCTATAGCAACATTCAGAGAGTAGGCAATATTTCTTAATCTCTCCGATAACCAACTAGTTTCTCAGAATGATATCTCTCCTATCCACTTTAAGATAATTACAAACACTTGAATCTTAAAGTCCTCATTGTTACTTTCAGCTACTAGACTGAGAAGCAGCTACCAGCTGGAAGTTTGCTTTATATTAATCATTACAGAAATGGATAAACAAATTGTAGCAGCTTGCACTGGAAAGGAAGTCGTTGTATGGTGAGAGATCTTCGGTCACGGGGAAAAGGTGATCCTTTTTACAGAAAGCTACCAGACACATATATTGTGTATGCCAGCAGGGCAATCTCTGCATTAGCTCCCTCCAAATGAGAGTCTTAAATTTTGGGGGAACAACTGTATTAGTGTTCTTCAGTGTGGTTCCTATACTCTACTGATGAACAAATGCTGTGTTTTATTCCACCTGACTTACAACAGATCTAAGATGTATTGACTTTAGGGCCTTTTTATATTTGTTGCCCTTTTGTATTACCCTTTTCTAAAATTAAGTAAAATGAATCCCAATGCCTTCCATGGGTTCTCTGCCCAATTTGTGAGGCCTTTAGTCATTTTCTCATATACATTCCTGATTTGTTGTTGTGTGCCTTTAAACTGTTTCCAACTTATGAAGCCAATAAGGTAGCCCTGTCATGGGGTGTTCTTGGCAAGATTTGTTCAGTGGGGAGTTCCTAGAGGTTATTTCACTTTACACTTTATGAGACTGATATTGATTGCAGTTGGTTATATATCTGCAGCTATTGTTGCATAACGGTGCTCCATGCGGTCATGCTGGCCACATGACCTCGGAGGTGTCTATGGACAACGCTGGCTCTTCGGCTTAGAAATGGAGATGAGCACCACACCCCAGAGTCAGACATGACTGGACTTAATGTCAGGGGACAACCTTTACCTTTTTATTGTTGCATAAGAGCCCGTGGTGTTTGTTGTTTGTTATTGCTTTTGTGTTATTATTTATGCACTTGTTGTATGTTGTGTGTTTGCATCTTTGAGTGATTTGTTAGCTGCCCTGAGTCCCTTCGGGGGATGGTGGCATGGTATAAATAAAGATGATGATGATGATGATGATTCCTTTTGCCTTCCCTTGAGGTTGAAGGGAAGTGACTTGCTTAAGGTCACCTAGTGGGTTTCCATGGCTGTGGGAGAATTCAAGCCACAACATCCTTGCAGTCTCCACAAAACAACATTCAAAATTTGAAAATGTTTTAAGTAAATTATATCCCTTGGATAACCTAATCTAAGGAGATTTATCATGTGAGAGTTGAGGTGCACATTAGCAGCTCCCTAACCATGATTGGAAATGCTCCTGATTGCATTATGTCATCTCAATCCCATTTCAAAGCAGTTCTCAAGAGGTTGTTAGGCTGTCTCTTTTTATGCACAGGAGATTTCCATTAATAGGCTGCAGAAAGGACTTTCTTTCAGTGTTAGCAGTGGTGCGATAAGTCAAAAGTTCTTCTGCAGAGAGGCTAAGAGAGTACATATTGTTGTGTGAGTCCCTTTTCTTCCGCTTTATTTCCACGTCCCCAACCTGCAGGCTATTCAGCTTCCCGTGAGGAAATAGAAAGTATCTCCAGTTGTATTGCCATAACTTCCCACATTTGCCCTATTTACTCCCTATATATATATATATATATATATATATATATATATATTCCAGGTAACTGCACAGTTTCACTGCTATGCTAATTCCTGGCACTCATATGGATTTCCTTTGTTGCATGTGCCTTTCCTTACTGTTTGCAAGACTGCAAATTCCATTTTGAAATTTTTTAGCTTTTGTCCACAGAAAATTGTAATTATAACCTTAATAGGTCATTTTGACTGCAGTGACATTTCAGAGAATAATGTATACTTCCTACTTTATGCTTTCTGCCTGAGGACTGATTTATAGGAGCCATGCTATTTTTATTTCCCTTAAAACTTCCCTTTCTGCTAGTTTTAACTTGATGTCATGCTCACAATGTTTTTATCATGTTTAAGAGATTGTATTAATTATTGCAGGATTTGTTTATAAATGGTTTATTTTTCTGTATGAATCCTTGAAATCCCAGGCTAAAGTTTAAGATATAGATATTTTAATAAATAAATAAACAAATCCTATATGTTTCTCTCAACCATTCCATTTGTTTATATACAAAGAAAGCAGGGAGGAAGGTTGGAACTTTCCTAGGCCGAATATGCTGGTACTGATATGGATTAAGGCTAGCCATACTTATTTTTAAAAGAGTGATATTTATCAGTATGGTATGTATTTAGCATGCCTTTCGGTGAAATGGTTGTAGAAAAATAATTAGTTCTTAGTCATATATTTTCTAGAAACAGGTATAAAAATATCAAATAGCTTCAAATGTTAATCATTGACTACAAGAGTTGTAAAATTTTGCTTATACTATTCTTGCATGTGAAAATAAAGTGTTGGACAAGATCATGAATGTTTTTACTTTTTAAAACAAAATTTACACAAAATAAAATGTGAGTTGTGAGTTTTCCGGGCTGTATGGCCATGTTCCAGAAGCATTCTCTCCTGACATTTCGCCTGCATCTAGAAATTTCAAGGTCAACAGGAAAGGAAGAAACCATGAAAAAAAACAAAATCTGGCCACCAGTATTAAAAACCTTTAAAATCATAACAGTAAATAAAGAAAAACACTCAAAAACAGGGGAATTCCAGCAAGAAACAATCAGGGCCAGCTAATCACCTCCCAACAAAGGATTTCCCCAGGCATTTAGAAACCAGACCTTGAAACTTCTAGGCTGTTAAATGCCAATCAAGGTGGCCAATTGAAACATTCATACTTACCTCAATCAGACAAGAGTTCTTTCTCCCAACCTCGACATTCCACAGATATATAAACCCCATTTTTGTAGTTCCAACAGACCTAACAACCTCTGAGGATTCCTGCCATAGATGCAGGTGAAACATCAGGAGAGAATACTTCTGGAACGTGGCCAGTGATTCCGGCCATGAAAGACTTCAACAATACAAAATAAAATGTTTTTGCACAAAAACAACAACAAAGCAATAGCCATTCTTGAAGTACAGAGCTCATTTGTTTCATCAGTAGGCGAAGCTCCAGATCTCAGTGCATACATAACTTGGGCTAAAAGTGACCATAAGGAAACAACACTTTCCTAGCGTGGCTTTCCAGTTCGTGAAATGATAACTTCCTTGACAAGGCTGATATAAAATTAAATAAGTCAAAAGTTCTAAAGAACTTAATAATTTAAAAAATCAATCGCATATAGATATTCTTGTATAATTATATACTGTAGTAATAGCAAGGTAAAGGTTTTCCCTTGACATTAAGTCCAGTCGTGTCTGACTCTGGGGTGTGGTGCTCATCTCCGTTTTTAAGCCGAAGAGCCGGAGTTGTCCATAGACACCTCCAAGGTCATGTGGCCGACGTGACTGCATGGAGTGCTGTTACCTTCCCGCCGGAGCAGTACCTATTGATCTCACATTTGCATGCTTTCGAACTCCTAGGTTGGCAGAAGCTGGGTCTCACAGCGGAAGCTCACGCCGCTACCCAGATTTGAACCTGCGACATTTCGGTCAACAAGCTCAGGAGCTCAGTGATTTAACCCACTGCGCCACCATGGGCTCCCAAATATATATTGTATAATAAATAATATGGATTCAAAAATCCTGATCTCTTCACAAGGCAAATCATTTTGTATCCTTGCTGAAATATATAGCAGACACTGCTTCCAAAAACCTGTTGGTAAGAATATTTACATATCTTCATTGTACAAGTTCAGTATACGTTACCTTCCAGGTCATAGGTTGCCTCCAGTAATTCACCATCAAATAGTTCTGCCGATATACCTTATGAGAGTCCATCATTACAATTAATTCAGAGACACCCACTTTCACACAGGCGATAAATGAGTCAGTGGTTAGTAATCCCTTTTAGTAAGTATAACCACAACAGAGATATATACTGCACCTTGAAGAGGAGCTTTAGGAAGATGAAAGAACTGGGAAGATAATTAAATCAAACATGTGTATGGTTCCTACTACTGGCAAATCATAGTTTGCTTGGTTTTCTCATTTGTTTCCTTCAGATGGAGGCTCCAAACAAAGATCAAGGGAAAGTACAAAATAAAAAAGAGGCAAAGGGGAAAAAAAGATGGCACTGAACACTCACAGGGTTTAGGTGTCGTTTCTTCAGTCTGCGTCTTGCCCCCGTCTGCCTCCTCACTATTAATTTGCACTGAATCATTGTTTCCCTTGCTCTCTGTAGTGGCTGCTTGGGAACCTAAATGGTTTGGAAAGCACACATGGGGATTTACCATACTAGGCAGAAGGGCCTTTTCGACTGGTATATATGACCACCCAGAAAGGGAGAGAGAAAGAGAAACTGAGTTTGAAAGGAGAAGTTAGGACCACTGAGAAAAAGAGAAGATTTCAGAGGAAGAAAAAAGTGAAAGTGAAGTCCAGAATAGGAAAGGGAAGACTGAAAGATGAAGAAAAAGAATCTATGCGGACAGATCCTATAAGGTTATTTGGAGATACCGGCATAGCTGTAGACAGCTACCAAAAAAAGGAAGAAGCCCTAAACCACAAAATGGAACACATAGCTAGAACTTGGGAAGTGGTCCAATAATATTATTGCTGCAATGATCTCAGTAGAGTTCATGTTCAAATGCTGTTGGTCTTATGATATATTAAAACACTAATATTAAACCTCCTGTGACTTGTATATCTGTCCTTAATCAAAATTTATGCTGGGACGGGTATAGGGCTCGGAGTACACATCTAAGGTTGGTTGAGGGCATCTGAACTTGTTTCATGATGCTGATGAAAGAAAAACATATTTTAATTCTCAAAAACATTTAAGAGGATTTATTTATGACAATGAATCTTTTTTTCATACCTGGAGATTTGTGTAACTTATGCATTTATTTCTCGTAGAAATAAGTGTGTGTATGCATGAGGGTGCATGTGTTAGGAGGGAGGGAAAGCAAGAAGGACAAAGTGGAAAAAAGTACTTATTTTGAATTTACCACCAGAAAATGGGGGAACAAATATTATTTGGGCTACTTATCAGGTATTAGCATAATGCCGGACGTCGGCCAATTACTGTTACTGAATATAGGAAAACTGAGAGCTGTGAATTATTTAGGTGCTCATTCCCTTGTTTTCAGTCCTCCAGATCTTCAGTTCTTGATGGCAAATGAATCTGGAACTGAATGAGCCATGAGGATTGAAATACAGTAGAGTCTCACTTATCCAACCTTCGCTCATCAAACATTCTGTATTATCCAACGCAGTCTGCATCCTGCCTGGATCCACAGCTGTTTCAATAAATTGCAATGTTTTGGTGCTAAATTCGTAAATACAGTAATTACTACATAAAGTTACCATGTATTGAACTGCTTTTTCAGTTGGTTTGTTGTAAAACATGATGTTTTGGTACTTACTTTGTAAAATCAATATGTAATTTGACGTTTAATAGGCTTTTCCTTAATCCCTCCTTATTATCCAACATTTTCACTTATCAAATGTTCTGTCAGCCCATTTATGACGGATAAGCAAGATTCTACTGTATCTGATTTTGTTGCTAATTTGAAGCTTTGTGCAGATATGTCTACATGAAAGTAATATTGATTCAACTGAACACCAAGAATCACCTCTATTCACTTTAAGGGGCCATGTTAATCTTCCTTTTCTCCATTAAAAAGTGCATATGAATAAAGCAGTCCTACTAATACTCAATTCAAGGGCAATAGACAAGTGACAGAAATAATAGAGAAAGAGAGAACAACTGACAGAAGAAGTAAGCAGAAGAGTAGAGAGGTAGAACTGAAAGAGTGACAGCCGAAAGATTGACAGTCAAAGAAAGTATACCTGGAAATCCAGGTGAAACATTAAACTTTGTAGAAAAATTAGTTGGAGGAAAAATACTGGAAAAGAAAGATGAAGAACAGAGAAATTCAGGTATTGAAAGAATAAGGAAAGGAGATAAGGCACAGCAAGAGATACAGGAGTAAGCACCAAGATTTTTCCCCAAGAAATGTCCCAAAGAATTACAATACACATGAGTCACAGAAATTTTATATATATATATACATAAATATAGGTGTATATCTAGATATGCAAAGCATAAGTAGAATACACAAACTGCACACAATACTATTTGTAAAATACATCACTATTGTATTTTATCTAAGGTGGGTAATACCAAAATGGCAGACACAGCTGTCATTTTGACATATCTTCTTAATGCTTTTAAGCCTATCTGAAAGAAAAAAGTAAAGGATTTGCTCTGTTCAACAAGTACACAAGGAAGTTAGACTTGACAAACTGTAAAGTACTTATTGAAAGACTTGTCTTCTTGTTATTGCTAGATTTACCATTCACCACCATGCATTCAGCATTCTCCTTAGTTACGCAGCATTTCTACTCGATAACTGACTAATTCACAAAACATGAATATTTTTATGGATCTGAATCCAATGTGGTACATCTGCTGATAGAAGAAGCTGGTCAGGAGGTCTTGGAAGAGGTGATGTCTTCCTTCTGGCATTGCCCACCTGTGCTGCAATGTCCTTTTCCTACAGTCTCTTCCCCCAGCCCACATTCTGCCTTGAAGGGTTTTCCAACTATATAATAGTCTTGTGCATTTGTATGGAATTGCTCTCAATTTCTGTATGTTTCATTCATATTGCCATGTTTTGGTTTTATTTATTTATTATTTATTTACCGCATTTGTATACCGCCTTTCTCAGCCAGAGGCGACAGGCACCGCTTCTGAAAATGGGTGGCTAAACAAATGTGCGTTTTCAGAAAAAGTCCAAAAATGAATATCTTCGTGCCTACCAGGGCTGCAGCCCCTGGGAGACATGGGTACTTCTCTCTTCTCTCTCCTTAATTATGTAAAGCAAAGGAAAAAACTTACTGTAGCTCCATAGGTGTGTGTGGATACAGCACACTTTTGGTGCTCAGCACTCCGCTTCAGGGCCTGCTCACCAGACGCACTCTTCTTGGAAAAAGAGTGCATCTGGCGAGCAGGCCTGCCAACAGGCCCTGAAATGGAGCGCTGAACACCAAATGAATCTTACTTGGTGCTCTGCTTCAGGCTCCGAAAATGCGCTTGGCATTTGATGCTCTGCTTCAGGGACTGCTGGCAGGCCTGCTCGCCAGACACACTCATTTCCCAAAGCACACGTGCCAGGCCCTGAAGTGGAGCACTGAGTGCCAAAGATGTACTTGGTGTTCAGTGCTGCACTTCAGGGCCTGCTGCGCATGCCAAAGATGTGCTGCGTCCACACATGCTGACGGAGTTACAGTAAGGTTTTTTCCTTTGCTTTACACAGTTACACAGCTCTGGTAGACACGGAAATCAGACAACAAACAGTTACCATTCCCACTTTTCATTTGTTTCACTGGTGTTTCCGTACTGGAGGGGGGAGTACTATTTAGTGCATTCCTAATAAACAAAATGGTACGAAAACACAAATGAAATGGATGAAACAGTAACCTAGCCCATGTCTAATCTATAAATTTAAAGAAACCCACAGGAATATCTCTTTAGTCTCCAACAAAGAAAATAAATATTAGAATGTCTCACATGGCTGGCAATACAGTGTTTAAACCCAGTAGATGAAAATCCTATCCACAGATAGTGCTGTTACAAATGAAGTGATAGAAAAATTGATTAAGAGAAGGAAAGCAGAAAGAGGAAATCATATATCTTTTGCCAGATGTGTATGTCATCCTCTGCCATTTCTTCATGAAATGTGGACTATGTATACTAGTTGTACCAATAACACAGGTAAAATTAAATTCATGCACACAATATTTATTTATATTTCCTTTATTTTTAACCTACCTCTCCTGATGGTGGCATACATGGCACTTCTATTTTTGAATTTTTTCTATTTTTCTCTGGATATTACAAAATTGGCAGAGGGCATTATTTCCATATGGAAATTGGATTTTATACTCCAGTGTCTCATTTTTTAATCTGGTCCTGGATGACACAAACATTTACTGTTTTTGGCTTCAGATCAGTGAATGTTTCTATTAATAATATGGTACTTGAGACATATGTACCACTGAGGTTGAAGAATCTGATCATCTTGCCCAGTCTGAAAACGTTTGTTATATAATATGTTTGGCTTTGACCTGAAAGGCAGCCCAATTCATACACAGGTAAAGGAAAACAGATATAGTTTGGCTCTGCCAACAACTTGGCTTGCCAGACAAAATGAAAAACTGAACCAAGGGAAATGTCCCTCATAAATCATACTGTGAGCTGAAGGTTGGCAGGTCAAATTAGCTTGCTGAAGGAGCATCCTGACATTTTCTGTACTAGAGAGGCTCTCATAAAAACAAGCTGAGGATGTATTCAAACTGATCCTCTGAATATCTAACTCAGCAGTAAGTCACATAGAGGTCAGTGCAAGTGACTTCCAGGGATGTGTTTGCACGATTGTGATCAGAAGTTGAGATCCAACAGCACCACCAAGGGAGCATGAGTGTATTTTTCACCTGGGCTTTTGCTGACACCAGCTGCATAATACATCGTGGTGCAGTGGATGGCTAATGTTGTGGACACATGGGGAGGAGGTCTTCTGGACCCTTTTCTGGAGATGGGGGAAAGAGCTACTGTACTTTCACACATTAACTCTAGCCAGCAGTAGCCAAACTGAAGTTACACACTGGAGTGCATGTATGTGTGTTTACCTATATCCTTCTGCAACTTCCTGGAGTAACAACTGAAGAAGTGCATAGACTGTTGTACTAGTATAGCTCACCTCCAGTCTTAAAAACCATGCATCAAATTCCGATGAACTCTCACAAGCATTATACCTGATGAAAATTTTCAACTTTAGATTTCATGTCTTTTATCTCATAATAACCATGCTGATTTCTTTAACCAATCATAAATGTTTTCAGATGTTTCTGACAAGCTGAACTGGCCTTGCAAATACCTCATTGTTTGTCCAGTTCACAACCCTTGAAGAACTACCAAGATAAGCTGTTGTCTGGGTGTGAAATATTCATAAGACCAGTTTGACACATCAGTACTTAAAGATTCACTCTGAAAACTGTGTTGATTTCATTATATAAAATATTACTTATATAAAAAAACATTTATATGTTAGGCTTCAAATTAATGCACAATTAACAGGATAACAAATTCTGATTTCTTTTTCTTTCTTTCTTGATTTCTCAATTACTCAAGACAAGAGTTCCCACTGAAACCATACATGATATTTCCATATAAATGCAGTACATATTCCTCAGGGTTTTGGGATTATGAAGCCTTGATTTATAATGTCATCTGAAAATGTGAAACCAGTATTTCATTATAAGTAGTATGATTAGGACTTCAGAAATTGGATAGAATAGAACCTCACAATTTTACTTTGGAGGACCCGAATTTATTACATATTTTCCTCTAACTCAGATAGAAAAAGTAGGACACGTCTCACCTAGTTGAAGCAGCAAAAAAGCATGGCCACTTACTTCCTTCAAAGCAATACTCTATAATATAGCCATCTAAACCTGCAGCTCCAATTTGGTCTGGTGGCCTCCACTTCATGGTTACTGTGGTATCTGTTACGGAATCAACTGCCAGGCAAGTAGGTGGACTTGTGACAGCTAAAAACAAGAAAAGGAGGGATTTGTGTTAACAATACCATTCTATCTGTTGAAGCTCTTTTACATCTATGGGCTATCCTTGTGTTGCTGCTCTTTGAACAACTGCTTTATACACATATATTTTCCACTCATGGGATTGTGCAACTGATATGATACTTAAAGCTATGAGGAGAGGAACTGAACTTGACCACAGGCACCTGAAGGACTAAGCAAACAGGTATCTCCCCAACATCATTTTGGGGAGACTCACTCCTGTCCCATCTATTATATTCTGTGGTAAATAACAAAAGTAATCAATGGTGTACTTATTTAAATATACTCACCCAATGGCACAAAAGGCTTTGAAGGCATGCTTGGTTTGGAAGTACCAATAGCATTAACAGCAAACACACGGACTTCGTAGGCAACTCCTTCAATCATCTTTTTGGGCTCAAACGTTGTTTCTTTAATAAGATCAAAGTTTAGCCTCATCCACCTGGAACTTTGCTTCTTTTTTCTCTCAATGTAGTATCCTGGATGAATATATGCACAATTATAGTACAATCTGCCAATGGCACAGTGTTTCTAAAGTAAGCAAATACAAATTACTAATTTGACTTATTTGATTTAGGATTTCATCAGACGGGGTTTTTTTTTCTCTATCCTAAAATGCTGCCGAAATGCAGCCAGGACAGAACCTGCCAGAGCCCATAACATGATGCAGGACTTCTTTTGGCAGGGCTCTGTCCTTGCTCTGTCTTGGCAGCATGCTCGGAGGCAGACCTGAGAACACGGATAACTACCCAAGATCTCATAACACTAAGCTGGAGACAGTGCGGATGGAAGCCGTGGACAGTTGGAAAACATTGTGTGATGGTAAGGGGATGAAGCAATGCACTGCTCCATGGTTTCCACTGCTGCCCCACCAATTCCCACACTGGCTTATGAACACCCATCTGATTAAGTCCTTAGTTAGCACAGTGATATCTGACTTATACATTTTGTTTAATTGTATTAGGAGTTTGTAAATTGTATTGTGCTTGTAAAATGTTGTACACTGCCTTGATAGCATGATTTATTTTAAAAAACAACAGGTGTTTAACACATTTTTTCTTACATGGGGTTTTATAGGATTCTACAGAAGTGGATGACTGATGTGGGTTAAGAGGCTGCATTGCACCCACACACAGAGATAAAATTAATTTTTTCCATCAAATACTCCCGAATCCTCTTTAGAGCATGGGTCCTGTTCCTTTAATGGTTTTGCACCCTTCCTTGGCCATCATACTGGCATGCTAAAACATCTAGATCCATTACATATGTTCATTTGTGTATGTGTATTTCCTGACAATTTCCCATCCCCAAACCCTAAAAGACCAAAAGTACAGAAGTTTTTCTCTCCCATAATCTTCCAAAAACTCCCCAAATCAGCCAAAATGAAAGCAGAGGTGAGCACTATAATTTCTAATTTTGATTTTAGTCCATTTTCCACTGTGTATATGGGAGGGGTTTGGCAGGCTTTTAAGGTATGTGGGAGTTGTGGGGTTGAGTTAGTAAAACTGCTGTGGGTTTGAGATATTTTTCAGAGGGTAAGCAAAAATCACCCCTCCCCAAAATGTATTTTTAGGGAGTCTGGATGCTTCTGGGGCTGTTTGTTGGGGTCCACAGAGCTACAAGTGGCTCATAAGTTGTGTTTTATCTGCCTCTGCTCTGGTGGATCCCAATCGAGAAACAGAATCCTAACTCTAATGTATGTGCATGCACGTGTGTGCTTGCATGTGTACATGTGTGTTACTCTCATATGTTGATTCTCAGAAGGCTTTATTTTCTATTTCTTTTAAGTTTTTCAGATAAGGTATCCCCATTAACCGTGATAGGAATCTTAGTCACGTGGATGCTTGTTCTTCTTACCTAAAACAGGGGATCCACCATCACATGCTGGAGGTTCCCAGTTCATTATACACCAGTCTTCTCCTACTTCAATTACGTTGGGTGCTTCTGGAGGGTCAGGAATATCTGTTGCAATAAAAAAAGAATTAATATTAGTTTGTATTTCTTTATTTGTTGTGCTGACATTTCTATAGAACAGATGACCCGTGATGTACTGCTACCGTGAAGCAAAATTAAACTTTTATAGACTCGGGTTAGGTTAAAAAAGTACAGTGAAGTTCATTTGATGTGCTGTTACTCAAGTGCTAACTTTCAGTCAATCAAGTTGTTCTTGATTTGTTTATTGATTTGTTTATGTATTACTGTCGGCATTGAATGTTTGCCATTGTATATTTGGTTGTGAGCCACCCTGAGTCCCTTTTGGGGAGATAGGGTGGGCTATAAATAAAGTTTCATTCATTCATTTTATCTCAGCTTCTTAACATAACCGAGGATCACTGCAAGGCTAAGGAATTTGAAATACAGTGAGCCTATCATAACAGCAAAACCCATATATGCAGTTTCACATACCAGAGGAAACATGGTCCCTCTAGCAATTTGCTAGGTTCTCCAAATTCCATGGTATAATTTCCCTGGAATTGCCTTGGAAGACTTGGCAAATTCCAAGAAAGTATATCTTTCCAGGAACATTTAGACGCAATTCCAAAGTATACCAGTATTCCAACGCATTTCCATAGTATACCATTCTAAGTTGTTAGATAACACCAGGACCAGAAGTCGGGTTATTTAATGGTATTTGTTCATATCTATGGTATGTCTTCCATGGATACAAAGGTCTTACTGTAATTTATGTATCTAAAATGCCAATAGAAAATATAAAAATGGAGGAAAGATTAAGCAAACCAGATTTTGCAATGGTTTCATACTGGAATGACTTACCAACCACTTTGATGTTGATATGGGCTGTGTCTTCCCCAGCCTCATTCTTTAGCATTATCCTGTAGACACCAGAGTCTTCTCTTTCAGCGGAATCAATCACCAAACAACTGCTGTCTGGATAATTCTCTGCCCGTATTCTGCTTGCAGAATCCATGAGCCACTAGCAACAGTTTTTTAAAAAATGTATCCAGAGAAGGTAAATCATTATTGACATTAGAAGAACAGAAAATTACTAAGAGACTGGCAAATAAGAAATTATACAATAAGAAATATGCACACTTGTTTACAACATATATAACCAAAATCTTAGCAAAAGAACAAAACATTTAAATAAGATATTACACTGCCCCAATTCTATTATTTCTCAGCAGAGGGCCCTTCCACACAACCCTATATCCCAGAATATCAAGTCATAAAATCCCACTTTATCTGAGTGTGGACTCAGATAACTCAGTTCAAAGCAGATATTGTGGGATTTTCTGCCTTGATATTCTGGGATATAGGTCTGTGTGGAAGGGACCGGAGATAATGTATTGAGTGGTAGGAACAGGAAATCAAATGGATTTGTCAACAAAATAAATAATGTCAGTCCAATTCTATTTTTTGACAAAGTTACAAGATCATGGAAATGTGAAGGCATGGTGTGTCTTCATTTCATCAGAACATTTGACAAAGGCTGGATCTACATTGCCATAAAATCCAGATTATCAAAGCAGATAATCCACATCTGTTTTGATCTGGATTATATGAGTCTACACTGCCATATAATTCAGTTCAAAGCAGATAATCTGGAATTTATATGGCAGTGTAGATGAGGCCAAAGTCTCTCAGCTTGAGAAGAATCATAGCTGGCTGATACTATTCTTAAGTGGATTCACTGCTGGTTAGATAAGCATCATACTGTTGACCCTACACATTTGTGGGTGTACCTTTTATGGATTTGATTAAAGCATTTTCTCGAGAAATCTCTAGATCTTCCAGTAATAGTCTCTGATCATTTTCTACTGGAAGTTGACCATAGAATCAGTGATTTCTATAGAAGACCTTTCTAGGAATATCTAGGTCAGTGGTTCTCAACCTGTGGGTCTCCAGATGTTTTGGTCTTCAACTCCCAGAAATCCTACCCCCAAGTTGAGAACCACTGATCTAGGTCCTCCAGTGCAATTAGCATAGTTCAGAGCTTTTTAAAATCAGTACAAATATGTCACAGGTGAACATATTTAATAACACAAGATAATTATAACACCAGTGTACAGATAACAAGTCAAAATGACAGTTCTACCTTGTCCCCTTTGCTCCACATAACCTTTGGGGGAGGCTCTCCAGAGATGGGGATTTCAAGTCGTAACTTGGTTCCTGCAACTACTGTTACTGTATTGCCTTCACCAAGCCCATCAAGATGGACTTTAGGAGGATCTGGGGAGTTTTTATGATAAGAAGAACATTTCAATAAGCTTTGTGATTGGCACATCTATTATTTTTTTATGAGAAGTCATCACAAAGTAGTACATAGAATTAAACTCATAGGACACAATAAAACAACAATTAAACAGCAATAGAGAAAAAATATCAACCTTCCAGACAAATGAACTAGTAACATGCACAGAAGAGTAGCATCCATGTTAAAGTGAAACTAACATAAAAAGTGCGGTAAAGATCAGGATTTGTACTGAAGGTGTGGCTGATATACTTCAACAAAGAAGTTTCCCATGTTTTTATGATACAACCAATTAGGAAATGACATTTCTAACCTAGGAACAAAAATTGGGTTAGATAGTGAAATTCTTGTGATAACAGATTAATCATTAGTCTTTAAAATGAGAGAAGATCCTTCTGCTGTTTTATTTACTAGAAATTAATGTGTAAACTCTTCTGAAATACTCCTCACTATAGTCAGCTCCAGGAAGATGTGTTTAACTCTGCCACTTTCATGGAATGCTATAATACAGGAATGCAGAAAGCATTGGTCCACCAATAGATTATCTGATGGACAAAATTCCCACAAAACATCATGTCTCTGATCTCTTCAGGGCACTTTCTGAATAACAGAGGCATCTGAGGAAGTAGTCTAAGGATCTTATCACAATTATAAGGTCCCCCAGGGAGATTCACCAAGCTCCATGGAGAATCAGCAGTGCAGCGGGGCAATTCCAGTGACTAGCTTCACCTGCAGTCACACATGGTTTGCAATGAAACATGGCAATTCCCCCATGTTCCTGGCACAGCATCATAGGACACTTGTGTCCCAGTTGAACCGTGGAGCCCCACTGGAAGCTGTGTTGTCTGATGTTGGTGTGGGGCTCCGTGGCTCAAATGGAGCCTTACAACACTGAAAATGACTCATCTGATGAGGCCATAAGAATATGAAAGCTTATGCAACAACTTGTTTCAGTTAGTCTCAAAGGTGCTGCAGGTTTCTAATGTATATGAATACTTTAGACTAACACAGCTATGTTAACAGTACATGAGGAAACTTCTTTTTACCTATAATATGCACTTTGCAGGGGATATTAACATTATAGGAATCTGGAACAAACATGTATTCGCCGTCATCTTCAACCAGTGAGCTATCAATAATTAGCCGATGGATTCTGTAGGAAAGAAAGAAAAATAGGAATATTTTTAAAAAGTCGTAACACAGACTTAACACAGTTAGAAATGTTTGTCTCTTCACGTGATTCAGTCTACATCTTCTATCATCTCCAGACAGCATGGCCAAAATAAGGGACAGCAGGAGTTGCTGTTCAAAACGCCTGGAGGGATCAAATTGCACTGGTGTGAAAGTGGTTCACTTGTATTATTTTTCAAAGCACTGTTAGACTTTTCTTACTTCCAAAGTGCTGTTCAGTTTCAACTAAGTTTAAACTGAACTAACTGAAGTGAAGATCTGGGGTAAAATTAACTTGCCTTTCTTCCAAAGGCCTGGTACTGAGAAAGAATAGGCAAAATATTTAATTCAACAAGTTATTATGCTCCTAACTTCCAGTTCATTTCATCTTCCAAAAGGCCTTTGGAAGGTCTAATTAAATGAGACAGAAGTGAATTTGTAAGCAACGAGTTTATAAAAAAACCCAAATCGCGATGAAAAGATTTGCCAAGTGATAAAAACACAGATTCATCCTGTTACCCTCTTTATTCTGTGGTGAAGAATAAGATGTTTCACCCGACCTTTGTGATGAGGTTGAAAGACATTTTTTTGAATGTTTCAAACATCTGGGAATCAGATATTTAATTTCAGCTCTTTTTTGGTGAGTGTGGGTCAAAGCAAGGCAAAATTCTATTGGAATGCTAGAATGAAAACAGTTTTCTTTATGTTTTCCCCAGAAATCCCTGATCTGAAATACCGTTGACTTTTGGGGAATTAAAAGTCCGTCTGTTTTAAAAGTGTAGCTTCCTTAATGCTCACTACAGAATAGTAAGATGCAAGTATCATATTTACACATGTATAAATTAACCTCCTGTATAAGTTGAGGGGAAGAATGGGAACTAAAATTACAGATTTTGATACGACCCGCAGATAAGCGAATGGGTATTCTATGCAGAGGGAAAACCACCAGTATTATCTCAAAGGCCAGCTACCCGGGCCACCACTACCATTTTTGCAACAAAATATTCAAAGATATCAGAAAGGGTGCCATGGTGGAGAGGGTAGAGGGGCCAATGCTTTTTTTAGGTTCTTTCAAGATTAACTAAGCATTCATGTTTCACCACTCTACTCGGAGAAGCCGAAGATGCCCTTTTTTGGTAAGAGTTAAAGTAAGGTATTTGTTAGGTTGGCTGATAAAGAAATGGTTCAAAACTCATTTTGGATGTAGGAAGTGCTGTTGGTTCAATTATAAAGTCACTTCCAAATTTATCCATTTTTTAAAAACTTTCAGAAACTTCCAAATCGATTCGTTAATACGGATGCGCATGCGCAGTAGGGAAAAACAGCACTGGCACTGGGGAAACTTCAGGGGATTCTCCCTCCCTCATTTTTATATCAATCCTGATGAAACTTGCTACACTGGTAGAACACATGGACCACTGCTATTTTTAGGTCCTTCAGCCATTTTGGCTAATGTAGTTTAACAGCAGGCATTTTGCAATCTCTACCATTTTAGGGGGCCTGGTCTTCACAAACTGCAGTTATGATGGCTGTGATTAACCACGCCCACCGCTTCCCTTTTTGCAGTGCCAGTGGAAAGAATGAGATTTTAAAAATTCCCTTGCCTTTACCAAAGTTGCTTAATGGTTGTGAAAATTAAAATAACCTTGGGAGACAGCCAATCATTATAGAATATTTCCAGAGAAAAAATGATAAGAGGTTCAAATTCGGATTTCCCCCCACCTTTCCTGCATGGTTCAAAACCCGCTTTGGATGCTCAAATTCGTTTGGTTTTTTTTTCTGAATTTCAGTCATTTCCGAGTGAACCTATCCAACCTGAGTACTTATTGACTTGTGGATAAGTTGACTCCATTTTTGAGGTTGAATTTTTGACTGACATTTCTAGACTTATACATGGGTATATGCAGTAAATATTTAGATCATAATGTGCTCTCTCTGCACAACTATTCCAATCTTGACTTTCCTCCCTTTTTATGCAACCTTCCTTTTGCTAAAAGCTTAAATATGTTTTATTCAAAAGCAGAGCCAAAGATTAAAATGAATGCTATGGTAATGTGTGGGATATGGGAATCATACATTCTTAGTGCAGTCCATTATGTTTAATCAGAATTCAGTCTCACTGAGTGCAGTGGGATTTATTTCTTATTTATTTCCAGGAAATGGCACATTGAATTGCTGGTCATGTTCTTGGATTTTCTATGAAATAGAGTTTTTCTCCAGCCTAGGTTGCAGGCTTACCTTCCTTTATGATACATCTTGATGCGGTCGCTGGGTTGGAGCAGCTGCCCATTTTTATACCACTTCCCTTCTACATTCTCAGAGATCTCACATTTCAAAGACAGCTCTTTGCCAAGCCTCACAGTCTGGTCTTCCAATGGATGTAATATCTTCAGAGGTCTCACTTCAGGAATGAAAAAAAATTGCATCAGCTTAGCGTGAGTGGCTAATTCAGTTAAACTGAAGTGACAACGTAAAGTCATACCCGTTTGTCTTATAATGAATAATCCTGGAAGCTTTACAGAAGGCATAATATAAACAGTTTCTAGAACAACTGAAAAGCCATTATTTACTCACAGTCAACTTTTAGTTTGGCAGCCGATTGTCCCCCAGTTGTCATCACTGAATAAGTTGCATTGTCAGCTTTGGTTCCTTCTTCTATGATCAGTGTATGTTTTTTACCTTCAACCTTCACTTTATATCGTGATTTTCCCTCAAGAGGCAGCTCTACACCATTTTTAAACCTAGTTAAGGGTTTGAAAAAAAAGAAGTAACAATGACTGTGATGACAGTACTATAAAAACCAGGCCTCACAGTCTTTGCCATATGTTTCAAGAACCAGTTTTACCATATAGTTTCTAATGACCATGACATAGTTTGTCTTTTTCAATACTAGTTTTTAAGATAGAAATAATAATAATCTCTAGAGAAATTTGCTCCTTAACAAATGGCTAATCATGCAAAATCAACATATAAATGCATTTTTTCTGAAAACTTTGTTAGCTTGTGTATGTGTGTGGGATGAAAGACAATGAGTTCAATGGAGCATTTAGTACAGAAAATACTGACAATGTATGCATGTACAAGGTGTATTCAAAAAGTATCCAACTATACTATTTTGTGAGTAAATAAAAACTATTTACTACTTTTATATCCCACCCTTCTCACCCCAAAGGGGACTCAGGGCAGCTCACAGCAGAGGGACATGAAGGTAGGGAGGTGTGGTATGGTGCATGTATGTAAGTGATCCTAATGCTCGTGCTTGAATTTTTTTTCCTGCATGCAGAAGCTGTCAGTCGCTGGCAGACAGCCAATGAGTGAGAAAGTATAAGTGAGTGCCGTCTAATTTTTGCTTTTGACAAAATGACAGAAACACTTGAAAAACACTACTGCATTACATGTTTTTACATCTTGGCAATTCCCAAGTGGAAATGATCTTCAAGATTCAACAGGCCTTCGGGAACGAAGCAATGGGCACCACACAGACAATGGTATAACTGCTTCAAAGATGGCGGCAAACCAGTGGAGAGTGAAGTATGTTCTGGTAGGCCCTCAACATCCAGAAATGAGATTCTAATTGGCCAAGTGAGGCCCCTGGTGATGCAGGATCATTGAATCATGATCAGAGAACTTGCAGACGAGGTGAGCATCACCACTGGATCCATTCATTCCATTTTGACTGAAGATTTAGGGTTCAGGAGAATCTCAGCAAAGTTCATGCCAAAACGGCTAATGACTGAGCAGAAGCAACTCAGTTTGGAGATTGCACAGGGCATGGTGCAGATTGTGAACAGTGATCCCAACTTCCTCAACACAGTGATCACTGGCGATAAATCCTGGGTTCATGGGTACAACTCAGAAACCAAGTTGCAATCATCACAATGGACGCATCCAAAATCCCCGAAGCCAAAAAAAGCAAGGCAGCTCCACAATAATGACAAAGCCATTCTGACCATCTTCTTTGACTCCAGTGACATGGTTCATCATGAATACATACCATATGGGACAACCATGACCAAGGAGTACTACCAAGAGATTCTGCATCGCCTTCATAGCGCTCTGTAATACAAACAGCTCGACCTTTGGGCAGCGAGCAATTAGTAGCTCCATTACAATAATGCACCTGTGAATTCTTCACATCTGATACAGAGTTTCCTGACCAAACACAGCATACTCGTGGTTCATCAGGCTCCCTGCTCTCCTCACATGTCTCTGTGAGACTTCTGGCTTTTCTCCAAGCTTAAAATGCCCTGAAAGGAATCAGAATTCAGTCCAGGGAAGACATCATGCAGAATGTGATGGATCAGTTACATGCCGTCTTAAAAGAGGGGTTTCAGCGCTGCTTCCAATAATGGCAGAACCATTGAGAAAAGTGTGTGGCAGCCCAAGGGGACTACTTTAAAGGAGATTAGTGTAGATTGTTGTATCTTCATACAAATATTTTTATGAATAAAGGTTGGTTGCTTTATGAATATACCTCATATGTGTCTTCAAGTGCCTGTTCCATGAATTTTATAAGGTTTCCTCAAGCAAGAAATACTTGAGAGGTAGTTTTGCCAGTTCCTTCCTTTGAAATAGAGCCTGCAGGACCTGTTCTTCATTGGTGGTCTGGTCTACCATCCAAGTATTAACTATGACTGACCTTGTGCTGCCTTTAGGATATTGGTACTTAAAGTGAGTCCATTACAAACCTTGGTTGAGTTCAAAAATGAGGACATACCATTTCACATTTGCATCATCTTCAGACACTTCAACGCTTAATTCAATTTTGTCACCAATATAAGCACTGGTGTCTTCCAGACCTTTTGTCACCAGTACTGGAGGCTCTAAGGAGGAAAATTGTTACAATGTGATTAGGAACAACATAAAATGGGAAACAACTGGAGATGGGGAGTTGCATTAAACCTCCACAGGAACTGCAGAAGAATTAGACTTTGAATTGTGCCCAGAAACAGACTGGCAGCCAGTGGAGCTGTTGCAACAGAGGTGTTGTCCTCTCCCTGTAGCTAGCCCCAGTTAGCAACCTGGCTGCAGCTTTTTGGACTAGCTGAAGTTTCTGGGCACTCTTCAGAAGCAGCCCCCTGTAGACAGCGCTACAGAATCAGATGGGCTGTAACTAAGGCATGTGGCTAGACCTGGCTTTTTAAGAAACTGGTGCAGTTGGCACACAAGTTTTAATTGTGCAAAGGCCCTCCTGGCCACTGCCAATACCTGTGTCTTCGGGGGAGTGTGGCCCCATTCAGCACAGGTGGGATCTCTATTCCCTGATATGCCTTCCGACTGCTATTAATATGGTCTCTGAAAAGTTCATTTATATTCCCCCCCTTTATCCCATGGTAGGACCCCAAATCAGTAAATTTATTCTCCCTGGCCATTTAAAGTCCTCCAAAAGACCCATAATTAAATATTACAATATGGTTAACATCAATGAAGTCATACTATTTTTAGCAGAGAAATGATTGGAAGTCCTGAAATAAGAAAACCACTGTTGTTTACCTCTTACAAATAATTCTGTAGAGCATTTCTCATCACCAGCAGTGACATGATAACGGGCATCATCTGTCAATGAGCAGTTGTTGATAAATAAGATTCTTTCATTACCCTTGTGCTCAAAAATATATCTGTTGGGAAAAAGGCAAATGCCAAAATTGAAACCATCCATGCAACAAGATGTCTTAAGAGCAACCATCCAACTACTTCAAATGCATGTAATAAAATGATGTTTTAGAAATGCGAAAATTAGTACAGAATTAGAGAAATAGGCAGTGGGAATTCAAGTACTTTCTCTCCTTCTAATTATGTATTCTGGCAGCTTTAAGGCCAAACTTAACATGACATTAAATGCCTTAAAACTACATAATGTTTCACTCCTGAGGGGAAGGGAGGTGCATGCATTGCAAATGTAAACTTCAATAGAATAGACCCTGAAACCCTAGATCAGTGAAGATAGAAATAACTCGTAAGGGGAGCCTAGGTTTCATTCCAGCACTCTTGAAATTTTTTTAAAGCACAATAATAGCTGGGGTAAAGGAGCCAACATTACTGGTAGGCCAGTTGGCTCAAGGGATAGGTAATGGGATATGGGGCCTTTCACCTTCAGGTCACTGGTTCGCATTTGTTTCAGGTCAGTAATGACCAGAGCTCATTAGCATCTAACAGCTGCTCAATGGCCTGAAAGACACAAGGTGGGGCATTCAATTCAGCTGACTTCTTGAGAGAAGTGTGTGTGCGTGCCTGTGCTTGGTAAACCAGCCAGGAGTCACAGACACAAGCCATGTTTCTGATAGTGTTCCTAGAATATCTTCTGCCCTGAAGTAGAGGAAGTCTATAAGAGCCAGTGTTTTACAGGGTTTTCTTAAGCAAGGTGTGAACAAAGATGGTTTTGATGTCATCTTCCTCTGAAATATAGCCTATATCACTTGGTATTCCTTGGTGTTCCAAGTACTAACCAGCCTGCCCTTGCTTAGCTTCCAAGATCAGACAGAATCATATGCTTTTAGTACAAAGAATGTCATTGTATCTTTAATATCTTTTCTTCTATTCGAGAATAATTAATTAATTAAATTTATTTTTATTCTGCCTATCTTTCAACAGGGACTCAAGGCAGCTAACAATAACTTGACACATGCCAATACAATTTAAAAACAAGGTAAATATGAAAAATAAAAAAATCAATTGATACAGAAGTTAAAATACAATTAAAATGACATTCAAAAGCTAAACATTCCTCCAAAACCCTACCCACAACATTACCAGCAAGCCTTGGAGCTGGACTCCCCCTCCTTTCTCCTTCCTGGTGCTGAGTGTAAACTAATAATAATAATAATAATAATAATAATAATAATAATAATAATAATAATAATCTTTATTTGTACCTCGCCACCATCTCCCCAAAAGGGACTCAGGGCAGCTAACATGAGGCCAACCCCAAAATTATGATACAGCACAATAAAATACAGAATGCAGACAACAAAAAATTACATCAGAAAATACTTACAGTATCAAAATAAAATAAATAATGCTAATTAACACAATATAAAATCGAACAGAATTGGCAGGCCAAACGGATGAGATAAAATGATAAAATCCAGGATGAGGTAGGAACAGAAAATATGTAAGTGAGGGGAGACCAAACTTCTTTTGTTCTTCAAACCTAGTTTGCAACCAAGATCAGGAGGTGGGAGGAGGAGAGAGAAACTGTGACATTTTAAAAGTAGCTGAAAATGTGGGATAACAAAGGATTATTTGGAAATTTCTTCTCAATTGGGACAGTTGTAGGGTATGAGCATATGAATACCAGAGATGTCAGAGAGTCAGTGGGGTGGTTAGCCCGCAAGACTGAAAAATCCAGATTGTAGTCACCATTGAACCATGAGTAAAGACAGGACAGTTACAATATCTGTCAAGCTGATATATCTCACAGTGTGGTTTTGGAGAGAAACAACAAACATTTGCCACTTTAAATTCATAGGAGAAATCAGATGCTATAAATCTACCAAAACAATGAATACAGAGGTTTGATCCAGCTGTCATGACTGGTAACATTTGGATGAATTAATAAAAAATATATAATAACTGAAGAAAAATAATTTTGACAGGGATGGGTAACTTCAGGTCTGGGGTCAAATCCAGCTTCCTATGCCTTTCTAGATGGCCACAGTATCTCAAATTACACTGTTCGGTGGTCTCTTTAGAATTTATACTCTCCCTCCCAAATTCTGTAAGGTTAACTTAATCTTAGCCACTTTGCAGAAAGATCTTAAAGTGAAAATATGCTTATATTTTTGGTTCTGCCCATTTTCCTTTGCCTCCACCTTCCTGTACTGAAAAAAACAAAACCCACACCCACACCAAATTACTTACTTTCCACTTGGTCGTATTTCTTGGCCATTTTTATACCACTTAAGTTCAACAGTTGGATCAGCCAGCTCCACCACAAACCTTACTCGACCTCCTTTATCCACTTGATACGCAGGATCCAGAATTTTAGCAAAAGCTGTTAGATGAAGAGGTTTGGGGCAAAGAGAGGGAGTCAGAAAATGTTTAAGAACAAAGGCACTGTCGTGAAGATCCACAATGATTTTTAAAATGGGTCAATTAGTGGATTTCTTTAATGATGTGTTTAAGATGCTTCAAAAATGATACAGGCTGAGCATCCATTATCCAGAATTCTGATATCCAAAACACTCCAAAATTATTCATATGGCTAGCTGAGATAATGACACCTTTCCTATCTGCTGGTTCAAAGTACACAAACTTTGTTTCATGCAAAAAATGTAAAATGTTGCATAAAATTATCTTCAAACTTTACTAGGTGCACATGAAACAAAAATAATTTTATGTTTAGGACTGGGATCTATTTCAAGATATCATTATACATGCATATGCAAATACAGGTATTCCAAAATCCCAAACAATTCAAAATACTTCTTTTTCCAAGTATTTATTTTGAATTATTATGATTTCCAAATAAAGGACTGTTTTTTAAATAGTCTACATCACTCTAATCTTTGAAAAATATCTGTCTAGTTCAGTTACTAGAGGAGGCTACTCAATGTCTATCCATATTCTAAGGAAGGAACTTGTTTGCTTTCCATACCTGCGCTCTTCTTTTCTTCCCTGCGAGTGCGCTTCAAACGTTTCAGCATGCCCCTCAGGTCTGTAATCCCATACTGAAAGGCAATTTTCTCATAGTCATTGGGATTTGAATTCTTCAGAAGCTCCCACACATCTATATCAGGTTCTTCTGGCTCTTGTTTAACTTCCCTAATTTTGAAAATCAAGGCGCAGGAGAAAAAGAAATTGGAAGAAGAGAAGGTACATCCCATATTAATGAACTATTTCTGCAGACAAGTGGAAAATCAGATCTAAGGATGGTTAAGTTTGGAATGTTAGAGCTAAGCCTAATTTTATATCAAAAGCTTAAAGATTGGTTGATCTAATCAGGAGATGTACATCTTTACAGCAGAATAGGAGAGAAGTAGCTGGATACATACTTACCCTGTGTCTTCATTGGACACCATGTTACATATCTTGAGTTTGCCTTGAATTCAAACCTGTGAGATTTCACATTAAAGCAACTGGAGCTCTCCACATAGCCGCTCTTTGTTTTTCAATTGTAGATTCAACAGAGGGAAAGAAAACTGTGAGATGTTCCTTGGAAAAGGTAGCGTCATCTTGCCTAGAGTTAGCGGCAAACTAGCTATTCAATCAGATCTTGAGGTCATCTGGAGGAATTTATCATTAACGTTTGAAATGAGACTCTTAAAAGGGGTTCAATTAAATATTGTGTTAACTGTCTGGTAGTATAAATATTGTAAAGGTATCAAACCTTCCATCACAGAGCAACAATGGCTCTTCTTTATCCCTGCGTTTTGTATCTTAATGATAACATACTGATGGAAGGTGGCCAGATTTAACATGCATCCTGTTAACTATCTGCTTACTAGATAATTGAATGTTGCCAGAAATGTACACATGATGATAAGTGAGTCTTCTTGACAATTTAGATTTATCCTCTCTATGTGGACTTTCACTGTAGAGGACCTGAGAAATTGTATTGCAGTAAAGAGAAAGTGGTCCTGATGTGAAGCACCAGAAGGTGAGCTGATCTCACAATGTTTAATACTGTAAAGTTATCATGATGCCATTTTCACATGGATATCTGTAAAAAGGCACAGTTCTAGGATAAATGGGTCATTCCAAGATGTCAATATTTTTTTCAGAATTAGTATTGATAATTTGAAAATGGTTTGTAATCTTATGTTTGTTTTTCATGTCAGGAGTGACTTGAGAAACTGCAAATCCCTTCTGATGGGAAAAAATTGGCCGTCTGCAAGAACATTGGCCAGGGGACACCTGGATGTTTTGATGTTTTACCATCCTTGTGGGAGGCTTCTGTCATGTCTCCGCATGTCTTACGGTAACTTTGTATGTGTATTTGCATCTTTAAGTCACTTGTTGGCGCATAGCAAACTTATGAATTTCATAGTACACAGTTTTTAAAGTCAAAGGCTATTCAGCGGTGATTTTTTCCCCAATTCTTTCCCCTGAAATATAGCCTACAGTTCCTGGAAGTTGTCTAACATTCAAGTATTAACCATTGCTGACCCTGCTTTGTTTCAAAGATCGAATGAGATCCAGCGCCTTTAATGTATCTAGGTTGATAATTGTGATGTTGCCATGTGAAAATAGATGTTGAATCTGAATTAATGTTTAATTAAACTGAATTTCATTTTTGAGGACTAGTTATTAATTATAATAAAGCATATTAAAAAGATTTTCTAAATTCATGCAGAAATGTGTCTTACTAAATAGTTGAAATATCTTAAAATTTATTCTTATTTTATTTTTAATTTTAAAAAGAAACCTGTCAGTTTTAATTTTCAATCCTTTTTGTTTTAAAAGCACACCGGCGAATAATTGTAGACTTAAGTTTATGCTTGATTTAGTGTACTGATATGAATGTAATCATGCATGTTGGGACAGGACGAGAGATAGGTACTATTTATGGGTGGGATTATATGATCTTGTATTTTATTTAGCTTTTTCATGCTAATAGATTGCAAAAGTTTACTTACTCCCAAACACTGGCTGCTCTGTCAGTGAGATTTCACCTTCTCAAAGATCAATGGGGAAATGCAAACATATCCACAAAGCGGACACACAGAAAGGGGCTGGATTCTCATTTCAAGATGTTGGCCATTCTAGGCGTGGCAATGCCTCTCGTTTGCAATGACAGGGATGCACATGCATCAGCAGCCGAAGATGAGAATGGGCCCCTTATCAATAAGTAGTTGTTGAGAATGAGGATTGGTGCGTCCTGATTTTCAACCCACTGTAAGAATCACTGCTCCAGACTCTTCATTTACCTTTGCTTAGCTGAAGAACAAATCCTTGAGCAAACAAAACTTTTGTCTTTAAGACGAAATGATCATTCCTGAATGGATAACGAGCATTGAACTTTTATTTCTTTTAAATGAATCTATAGTTAGGGATGTAGGTTTTCATCCCATCCCAGGGAATGTCTTATTTAAAATTCCAGATTTTGTAAAAAATAAGAAATTAGTAAAATATTGAACATTTCAAATTCCATATTTGTTTAGCTTTTGCAGAAAGAGCTAATTAAGCTCTTCCAATTATCTAAAAGCTGCTCAAGCAATCACCAGAATTAATGACACTAATGATTAAGTTCATTACATCTAAGTAGCTGAAGTAAGTCAGTTTCTAGAAACCGTTGCTTCCAAGTGTTTGAGATAGGCTCACAGCCAGCTGCCTTCAAGACTTAATGGATTAGCTTCCCATTGACAGTTCAGAGATTAATTGCATCTGGTCATTAGATGCAAGACAAACTCACAGCCTTGAAGAATGCAGCCATGTGTTTTTCTGACCTCTTGGCCACAGTACTTTGACATAAGTTGTAAAGCTAGCATCTATCCATTGGCTGCAATTTGGCTTCAGTACCACTGATGTCAAAAGCACTGAACCATGCTTAAATATTTTTTTATTTTTTTTACTCTTTTTACTGATTTGAATCAGCAATCAAAATGTTTTGTATGATTTTTCTCTAATTTTTTTCCTGTGTCAGGAGCAACTTAAGAAACTGCAAGTTGCTTCTTGTGTGAGAGAACTTGTCTTCTGCAAGGACATTGCCCAGGGGACACCTTGATGTTTGATGTTCTATCATCCTTGTGGGAGGCTTCTCTCATGTCCTCACATGGGGAATTGGAACTGACAGAGGGAGCTCAACTCGATCTCCCCAGATTCAAACCACTGACCTGTTGGTCAGCAGTCCTGCCAGCACAAGTGTTTAACCCATTGTGCCACCGGGGGCTCCCTTCCCTAAAGTGAATGAAGTGGAAAAATTATTTCTTTAATAATCCAGTGAAATAAGGATAAAACTGGAACATAACATTTATTATAATGAAAAGCTTAGGAATAGCTGAAGCATCCTTAAAGCACTGAACTGTTAAGTAAAGCAATCAACTGAACATAAGAGAGGGGAGGAAAATCTATTCCAATACTCATATTGATGTCCAGTATTGCTATTTGATTGATAGACTGCTGGTTTTCAAAAATACAATAAAACAATCGGGTTGATTTGGAAGTCTGATTAGCCCATTATTCACACAAGAGTGACATTTCTGTAGATCTATATACATACATATATATACATGTCCATATACAAGAAATTACTCATAACCATAATTTCAGACTGTCACAAAAAACTCACACAGAAAAACCGTATTTCCACACGAACTGTATGTTAGTGGAAAACAACAGACAACCAAGCCAAGCAAATCCATATCCAATGATATCCTAGGATTATGATTTCATGAACATATCAAAGTGAATGTCCTAGTTAGGGAGGAGAAAATGAACACCTGGTAAAAATGATATGGATTAAAATATGGGTGAATTTTATTTTTTGTTCCTATATGTCTAAGCATTTTGTTGGAGCAACTTCCCACTGTTTGCTTTAAAGACATATAAAGAAGGCAGAAAGCTTGGCTGATCTGATCAAGATGAAAGTATGAAATACATGAAAAATAAACATCCAGCATTCGGTCTGGTTAAACACTTGAGAAACTGCTAATTTGTCTTTGATGAATTTTTAATCATCCCAAGAGTGCTACAAATTCACATTAGATGCTTCATAGGTATGCTTCTGTTTAACAAAGATTTTTTTTGGCCAAAACTCAAAATGATTTGAAATAATTTTGTGTCCAGTATGTAACTTTTTAGCCCCTTAGCAATTTACTGGTGGCTGAGAATGGGATTCCAATTATTTTAATTGGGTTACTTAGTTTTTATTTTAATAACATTATATATGCTGTTTAATTTGATTTAGAGATTCTATCTTATGATTTTCATGTAGCTATCTTAGGACTTCATTACATTGAGGTCCTGAAAATGGGTGATAGCAGGGGAATCCGTGGGACAGCGTGATGAATCCATGGGGCAGCAGAGGAAACCATCGCTCCACATCGGCCCCTGCCTCATCGCATCGCCCTCCTTCTCCCTGCACTGCCCCCAGCTTACTCAATCAGAACACAGGAAATCACCCATGTTCTGAATTCTTCCTCCCAGAACACTTTCAACAGTGAGCCGGCATGGAGCCCTGCTGGAAGTAGCCCATGGGATGGTCTCCAGAAGCCTCCATACCGGCTCCAAGTTGGAAGTGTCCTATGATGGGGCAAAAGTCCCATGTGATGAGGTGTAAATCTGAGGTCCCTTCCACACAGCTGTATAAAATCCCACACTATCTGCTTTTAACTTGGTTATATAGCAGTGTGGAGTCAGATAACCCAGTTCAAAGCAGATATTGTGGATTATCTGCCTTGATTCTCTGGGTTATATGGTTGTGTGGAAGGGCCTAAGTCCCGGTTTCTGGAGGAAGAGAGAGGGATAAATTTATTAACCACAGATTATCTCCCATGATGAGAAACTAACAGAACTAAACAAGATATATACGCATTATATTACTATACTATATTATACTATACTACACTAAACTATACAATACTAGTGGTTCAAATACTTCTAAAATATTTTCAGCTTTATGATAGCATTAGATTCTAGAAGAGTTGTCTAACCTTAGTTGCTTATTTTTCCAACACTCCGTGGATTATATGTTTTTAGTCACACAGTGCTATATTGAAGCTCAGTAAGCCATTTCATCGATTTATATAGCAGATGGAGGGCAAACAAATAACAACAGAAAACTGATGGCTGTCCATATGCCTTGACAAGAAATGTCCTAGAATTGGATTGTAAAAATTTCTTACCAGGATTAACATTCTGAATTCCTCTTCCCCACATAGGAACGAAAGAAAAGCATGCAAGCACAAAACAAACACTAATATAGTACTGGCAAGTCCTAATAAGACTTCATCCCCATGTTATAATTTAGTGTCACAGGAATGCCTCTCTGAGACATCCCCATGGTGTTAAGTTATAATATGGGTAACAGCCCCAAGAAAGGGTATGACATCCTACATTTTTTATGGTTTGTTGTCACCATGTTGTCACCTGACTTGGTTTAATTTTCAGCATGTTCAATCCCTTAAAAATTAGAAGTTTGTACAACAAAAAGGGAAGTGATGGTCCCATTTCTGAAGGGAATTACTTCTACACCTGACACTTTCTATGTGAGAGCCTAACCAACTTCCAGTCCACACCTGCTCACTTCATTACTTGGTTCTCACCTACGTTTCAGGAGACCACTAAAGTCAAGTTCTCCTGCATCCTCTTGTCCTTCACCGCTGTTATTAATAAGAAAAAAAGAATCAAGTCTTTGTTTAATACCCAGAGAGTAGGACAACACACATTGAATAGATGCCCTACAAATGCAACACTACTTACATTGTAGACACACAGGAAAGAATAATATGTCAACACAAACTTGTATTCTTTTTCACAGGATTTTAACTTCCACTAACAAGCACTTGTGAAAAGATGAACACAATGGTTTATGTTGCTTCATGTTACACTTGTTCAGGCAAATTTTTCTAAACACAATAGATGTAAATTTGCCTAAATTTGTGTTAGACGTTTCTGTAACACAAATGTGTTTCAAGGAGACTCGAGTCAGCACAAAGGGCTTTGTTTTTCATGTCTGCCAATGTGCCTGCTTTCAGAACAACAAAGGGCTTGTGCTGATCTCATTTACAAAATGTAAAACAAATATCACATTGTTTTTACACTGCATAGAACAATGCACAATCATAAAATATCACATAGTAAACTTAAGCTTATAATAAATGTGTCAGCAAAAGGTGACATTGGAAATGATATTTTCCTTGCACACACACACAATGTATGGTTTTAAAGACAAGAAAGAGAAAGACACAGTCATTGTGAGATGGTGGATGGGTTCATTTATGGAGGTGAATTCATTTATGGAATATATTGAACTATAACAGTGTCATTGCAACTATTTATAGAAAGGACTTGGTATATTTTGCATAAGCAAGGATTCCTCAGGCATTGAGTTCTCATGTGGATGTAAATCCAACTTTTGGGAAGATGGAAATATGTAGAAGATCCTTATTATGCATATTTGCCTGAAAAATAATAAAGCTGAAAAGTGCAATGAATGCGTATGGATGAAAGGAAGGAAGAAGAGAAGCAGAAAGTATAGGCAATAAGCAAACAGTGCCCTGAGCCATTTTCTTTCCCTGCCTTTTTCAGGATCATTGTTTCTTTTTCTTGGAGGACATAAGAATTCAACAGCGAGAGTATGCTCGCATCGCTGCCCTAGCAAAGGGAAAACCACCTGGGCGCGGAGAAAGAGGCGGAGTCTTCGACATCATCGGCCGTGCTGGCACAGTTTGCTCTCCCAAGACACTAGTTTGCGGCGGCTCTTAGAGAGCACCTTGGTCCAGACCTGGTAAACATCTGCTTCTATCTTGCATGATAACCTGAGTTCTCATGGCTTCATGTTGGTATTGTCAGGCTTAATACAGGATCAGTTGTTGCTAAACTCCTCAGTTCTGACCCAGATTATATTACTGTCTGAAAAAAGGACCAAGTTGCATGTCGCCTTTTATTCCATATATGAAAGCCATCTGGGAGTCAAATCTTATTTCAAAAATGGCAATAGGGAAATATTGTCCACTATATCTGAGAGCAATAGATACAGGAAGAGTGGCAATTGGATCCTGCTACCTCCAGCAACTGTTACCTGAGGTAGCTTCCTCATTCCATCAACTTTCATTATCACAAGCTGGAAGGTAGGAAGACCATGTTCTTTTTGCTAAGTTGGTGGTCAAAAAAATGGATTGTTACTAGTGATATTACTAATCTACAATGGAACAAGCCTTAGTGCAAATCTAGTGAGCTCCACTAGAGGACAGAAGGCTTTGCAGCCCTTGTATATCTGGATTGGAGCTCAAAAAAGTTTTTTTAAATTGCCGTTACCAGAATGAACTAGTAAATATGATCATTGGGCATGCTGGCCAGAAGATTCTGGGAGGTATGCTTCACAAAAAGAGCTTTGGTGTATAATAAATCCTGGCAGAGTCCTCAGGAATTATCCCCAAAATTCGTAGGGATGGAATTCCAGAATAGCAAACCTGTGCGTCTTGAGTTAATTTCACCCATGACATATGCTGGCTTGTGCTATTATGAATGATATATGAATGATGAGGATGAGAGAGAGGAACAAAAAGGCAGAACCATGCCAAATGGTTGAATTGGTAGGAGGAAATGTACTATGATGAAATGTGGGAAGAGAAGAGGGCATGGCTAATGAGATGTTAACACAAAGGTCTTCAGTTAGATGTTATGTATAACACATCATCTATGATTCACTAACAATCACTGCTTTCCCAAATATAAACGTTAAAGCAATCAGTTATACTGTATACATAAAGGTCTGATAATGCAAAATATATTTACAATTAAATTAAGGATAACTTTGTAAGTATACCTTAGGATCTTATCTCAAACATATTGAGAGTTTATGAGACTTTCTTCCATGTAGAGAAGGAATGGGTAACCTGTAACTTTCCAGATATTGTTGGCTCCCAGTTACAATCAGCCATAGTCAATTAACAAGTCATAAATAACAGTTCCCTGGAACAATGTACCTGTCTCACAAAGATGTGAGAAAGGTGTCAGAACCATTATGGTGTAGCAATGATATTGTTGTGGTATATGCAAGAGATGGGCGTCTTCTTAGTAATGACATTACATTTCTAAAATTCAATCCTAATGGAAATTTGAAAGCTTTTCTCCCTCTCCACAGATGTCAACTGATTATTTAGGCTACCCTTTCTCCTATTACCAGCTATTTTATGATGATGTTTAGATGCCAGGGTAGATTAACAGAATCAATGAGATTTATCTATATGGAGACTCGCCACTCAATAGTTGATAACTTCTAATTCTAGTTGGAAGTAATCAATAGAAGTCAAGTCATTGTGTGACTGACTATAGAGACAGTGCTCTTTATTTCTGTGTAAAAGTCATTATTTGACTAAGGCTGATGGTAATATTGAGCATATGTATTCATAGGATCTGTGAGGTATTTCACTTCCTACTATCATGTCACTATCTTACTTAGCACACACTTGTGGTAAAACTAGTGAAAATCCATGAGTTCTTGGTGCACATAAACAACCAAGCTCACCATTAGGAAAGAGCTCTGTGTGGCCACTATATGGCCAATATGATAATCCATCAAATTGCACATTTCTACTGATTAGAGTTATTTCTATTTGTAGATGTAGGACAGTAGCAGTCCCCACTCCCTTCTGAAGTTCCTATCCCACCTGTTCAGCTTCAAAACCAGTTAAGAAAACAGGTTTCAAACCACATTGGGAAGGGAGTTACAGGAAGGAAGGAAGCCCTACTGCTACCATAATACCAATCTGAATTTAGTCTCATAACATGTAGATCAGCCATCAGATCCAAGTAATGGCTTTCAGAGCAACGGGCCAGCAAATTGATATGAAATCTAAGGGAATTATCCAAAGGGCCTTACCTTAAAGTCTGGACTTGCTGCCCCACTGACTCAGGAGTCAGCAGCTGCCATACTCAGCCAAACTTTACAAAAATTGGACTGGGGAATCTTAGCTTTTTTTTAAACACACTCCATAACTATTATCTCTGACACTTCTCTTTATAACATCAACTCCACTCCCTTTTCACTGTGCATTTTCTGAAAATTTGTCACCGTCTTTTCAACTCATTTGCTTTGCTTTCAAAGGCAGTGCAGGGTTTTTCTGATACTTTCTACACCAATTACTGAAGCATTTTCCAAAATCATTACATGAGGTTACCTTCTTTTGAACGCAGATCGGATATCTATTGATGGTGCAGATGAAACTTCTACAATAAAAATGAAAATAAATGGCCTGAGTAATTTGCAAAGTGTAAAGCCATGGGTGGAGAACATTTAACTTGTACAGATATCCATGTCCTAAATTACAAAAGAATATAATGTGGCCAACATGGCGTTAACACTGTCATGCATTGGTTTTACCAGCCCAAGTCATCCTTCATGCAAAGTGGAGAAAGTTTCACTGGGAAGGGATAAAAATCCCTTTGTTACTTATGCCCTTCTGACATAGGCTATATCACTGTATATCACAGTAGTAATATAGGGTTATTTGTAGCAGAAGTCACTATATAATTGAATTTGAGATATACAATCTTTAGGCCACGTAGTAAATACAAAAGGAAATAGAGAGTAAAATTAATATCCCAGTTGCACAATGAAAGCACACCTATATGTGGAACCTCAATATTTTGAAATGTAAATATCAAAGAAAATATTCATGATTTTTGCTGTTTTTCATCATCATCATCACATCATCATTTTACTAATTAAATAAAATGTCTAATAAAATGTCTTACTTTTTTTAAAAAAATACAGTGAACTACATACAAAAAGTGAAAATTAAAATGGGACAATAATAATAATAATAATAATAATAATAATAATAATAATAATAATAATTGGTAAAGCTTTCCCCTGACATTAAAGGTCTGGTCATGTCTGGTCCTGGGGTGGTGATGCTCATCTCAATTTCTAAAATGAAGAGCCAGTGTTGCCCATAGATACCTCCAAGTAATAATAATAATAATAATAATAATAATAATAATAATAATAATAACAACAACAACAACAACAACAACTTATTATTATTAACAATAAACATTGACAAAATCACGATCTGTGAACTGCAAAAGGCCACCTTACTTGGATCTGCGCTCATCATTCGAAAATACATCACACAGTCCTAGACACTTGGGAAGTGTTCAACTTGTGATTTTGTGATACGAAATCCAGCATATAGATCTCGTTTGCTGTGACATACTGTGCTTTTGTGTCAGTAAAATAATAACTTTATTCTTATATCCTGCCACCATCTCCCCGAAGGGACTCTGGCCCTTACATATGACATAAAATGCCCACATATGCAAATACAAAACAATTAATCAAAGGTCATAACCGGCACTTTGAATTGAGACTGGAAACTTATCGGCAGCCAGTGGATCTGCTTTAATCGGGGCATTGTGCACTGACTATTATTAGCTCTAGTTAGAAACCTTTGTACCTATTGATTGTTATATTTGAAATAATAAAATATCACTCAATTAATACAGTCCCAGCTATAACAGCATAGCAACCTCAGTGCAATCTTTAAAAACCCTCCAATTTAAGCTGAGTTGAGGTATTGGGGTATATTTCCATGATCTGCTATTTCTGCAGGTATCAAAGAGTAGCAATTAATCAAAATTTCAAAAATTTAGGATTCTTTGAGGACTCTGAAAGCCACCAAGACACTTCCAGGGCCTCATATAGTAATTCCCCTTAAAAAAAATGCTTCAAAGGACTTGGGCTCCAACCCAGATCAGGACAACTGTGTTTGGGTTGAGAAGGCTTATACCTCTCCCTGCAGCTGTTTCCTTCCATAAATCTCCACACCCAGAGATTAAAACAAAAATCTCAACCTGGCAAGAACCTGTCTGTCAACAATGTCCAATTGTGTGAGTGAATGGAAATGTCTGCAGTATGTTAGAACAGGTCAACCCCTACCCAGTTTCATAAATTCAAGAGAAATAGACTGGGATAGGAGAGTGTTCCAAAATAATAAATAAATAAATAAAACCCATTTTTCTCCCACAACATCCACCAAATCCTGATGTTTTATGGAAATCTGGTGGAGATCTAAATAACTATTTTTTTTCTGACTATGGCTCTCAGAATTTTTTCATGGCCAGCTGAGGAGTTCTGGAAGCTATACTCCACAAAAGTAACTTTGCCAAGCTTTGCAAATAATGGACTCATCTCAGTGCAAGCTTTGCCCATCACGTCATAACCACTGAAAAATCCAGCTTCTGATTCAAGCCTGTAAGAGAGCTGAATCTAGAATTGAATTACACCCAGTGTAAATTGGCCATGTAATCAAATAAAACAATTCCCTCCTATAGAAAGTGTATGCCCGCAGACAGGCTGGCTCCTTGCCTGCATGCTCCTGAAGGCGGGCAGACTTTGAGGCTTGTCTGGCTAATTGGCCGTCAGCTGCTGGACATTCCGTTAATGGTGACCTGCCTCCCCAGCTGATTAATGAGCACTCTGACCTTGGCCATTTGGGAGGCTTGTTTTGCTAGGATGGACGTATGCTGGGTTAGCTGCTGGACGGCTGTAAGACAAAGATATTTAGAAAGCTTCCCTTAGATGTGCCTGGCATCTCAAGCTACAGTGCCAGGTGACCAGGCTTTAGGACCCCATAGTAGTGTTTTGAGGGACAGACAAGGTCCTTTGCTTATGGACAGTCTCTCTCTCCCCAAGTCCAAAAATAAAAGAAGGCCCATGAAGTAATTCTCACTGGAATGGTTACCAAGTTTGAAAATGCTTCTTGTATCATTTGCTCTTACAATGGCCATTTGTTTTCCAGACTGGAAGCGTGGTATTTTTAAGGGCTCCGCAGCAAGAGGAATGCCTTCACCATAGCTTGAGATCAAGTCTCAGGGTGCTGTGGTTTTAGCTCTGGAAACATTTTAAGGATTTTAATGGCTTATTCTTAATAACATTAATGTTTAATTCTATTTTAATGTTTGTATCGTTTTGGGTTTTAAATCGTATTGAATTGGTTGTGAGCCACTTTGAGTCTTGTTTGTAAACAGAAAAAGCAGGGTAAAAATAAACATAATGAACATATTAATAATATTAATTTTTTTCATGTCAGGAGCAACTTGAGAAATTGCAAGTCGCTTCTGGTGTGAGAGAAATGGCTGTCTGCAAGGACGTTGTCCAGGGGATGCCCAGATGTTTTGATGTTTTATCATCTTGTGAGAGGCTTCTCTCATGTCCCCACATGAGGAGCTGGAGCTGACAGAGGGAGCTCATTCGTGCTCTCCCTGGATTCGAACAGGCAACCTTCAGGTCAGCAAGCCAACCTTCAAGTCAGCAGTCCTGCTGGCACAAGGGTTTAACCCTTGTGCCAGCAGGGTTGAGCCAATCATCATAATCACTGCCATCATCATCTCACTAAATGTTAACATTGGATTCATAGTGAAGCTCCCATATCAACTACTAACAATAGGCCTATCTGGCCTGTGGCTCCAGTTTTAGACAAGTCTGCTCCAGATTTTAATCTGAATTTTTAAAAGCTATCAAAGATAATTGAACACTTTGGTTAATGTCTTTGAAGTTGAGAGTATAATCTAGAGAAAATTGACTGCATCTGCAACATCAACAACACAACATTTCACTGCTCACAGGACATAACCTATCCAGGCTTGTCAGAAACCATGAAATGAGCTGGAGGACAAAATAGGTGCACTCTGTTTTTTTGATCAGAAGCTGGATGGACTATTGTTTCAATCCTGTTTAAATAATACTGGCATGGCAGTTACTGTCATTACATTTGAGGACAGTAGCTTTGCTTAGAGAACCAACTTGGTGTGGTGGTTTGAGTGTTGGACTATGACTGGAGGTGAGGGTTTGATTCTCTGCTCAGTCATGAAAATTTAAGTCCCTTCCACACAGCTGAATAAAATCCCGTATTATCTGCTTTGAACTGGGATATATGGCAGTGTGGACTCAGATATTCCAGTTCAAAGCAGATATCATGGGTTATACTGCCTATAGTCTGGCTTATATCATTGTGTGATTTACACACTTTATCCATCAGCCCTATCCTCACAATGGATTTGCACCAGTCTACCCACCTGTGCCCAGAAATTGATTATTATTGCAAGTTCATTGGTTATTGGTTTGATGGTTGCTCTTGTATTCTGTTATAATGTCGTTGTTTTATTCTGGTTTATGCTGGGTTTTTTTTTAATTTTAGTGTATTATATTTTAACTATGTTTGTTTGGGCTTGTTCCCTTATAAGCCGCCTCAAGTCCCTCTGGGGAGATGGAGGTGAGGTATAAAAATCAAGTTATTATATTATTATGTGTGGAAGTGACCTTGAGTGAGTCACATACTCTGTGCCCCAGAAAACCCCATAATAGGTTCATTTTGGGTCATCACAAGTGAAAAATGACTTGAAAGCACCCAACAGCAAAACCTAGCTTAGGTGGTTCACAGCACCTATTGCTACTAGGTCAGTATCCTTCCACTAAAACCAGCATGCCTGTCCAAGCCGATCCTGATGGAAGAAATGTGTTGTGCGATATGCTAGCAATGGTTGTCAACCTGGGTCCCCAGATGTTTTTGGCCTACAATTCCCAGAAATCCCAGGCAGTTTAGCAGCTGTGAGGATTTCTGGGAGTTGAAGGCCAAAAACATCTGGGGACCCCAGGTTGAGAACCACTGTTAAGGGAAAGCCTTCCGTGACTTTGGTGATTTATTTTATCATCTATTCATCCTACCAAATAAAAGGTTAAGTTCTACTGACTTCATTATAAAAGCTTTTCCTGTTTGTAATCAAATCCATAACTGTACCAGAAAGGTTTAAGGTGCCTGTTAGGATTTTCTTTCATTTTTTTTGTCTGAAAAGATTGCTACCAATGGCACTGATATATCAAGAACCTTATCACATTTTCTCTCTCCTGGGGAGTTGCAATGATGGACATGTAACAGATAAATTTCTTTCTGAACCTGAGATAAGCCGAAAAGGGAGCCCTTTCTTTGACCTCCAATCATAGATAAATTTGTAGAGTCTGGAGCTGTCAGCACTGTCATCCAGCATAGCCTTTATTCCAAATATAAACCGCAGGCTTCAGAAACCTTCTCAGATAATTGCTTCAAGAATTTAATATGATTTCACTGACTCAGAGTTATGGTATGAGTAATTTCCAGCCTGTTGGAGCTGTATGAAAGCAGCCAGGTTACTTTAAAGGGGGATTACTGAGGAGATATCAGATAAACTCTATCCAGTGATGTTAGCCATTTTGCTATATGAATCCTCCGCATTCGGAGGCAGTGTGTTACTGAAGGACAGTTGCTAGGGGCCAAAGCAAGAAGAGAGTATGATTGCCTTCAAATCTCTGTGGGAAACAGGGTGGTTTGATCAGATCCAGCCTTGTCTATAGTGGTTCTCAAGATTTCCAAGAGACAAGGAATAACATCTAAATTAGTTGAAGGTGCATTTCTTCTTGATTAATTTTAACCTCTTACTCCTTTTCCTTAGTTCCATCTCCTTTAATAATGGTATTATGAGGAAGGTAAGTTGGGTGATTTCTCTTTTATTGATTATATAAGGCCTTATAATAAAGGACCTTTAATAACAATATGAAGAAGTGCATGGGGGCTAATCCCCATCAAATGTTTTCTATGAACTAAACCTCCACATACAACCTGCCAAATACTTCCACTTTACTCTCCAGTTTCTCAAAATGGTGACCAGAAGTGAAGTTCTATCATTTATGATTGTTGCATCATTTCTGGTCACCATTTAGAGAGGGTCTGCAGAAAGAAACTGTGTGAGAGATGGGGATATTTTCATATATTCTCATGCATTTGGGGGCAAAAACTGTCTAACACAGTGGTTCTCAACCTGTGGGTCCCCAGATGTTTTGGCCAACAACTCCCAAAAATCCCAGCTAGTTTACCAGCTGTTAGGATTTCTGGGAATTGAAGGCCAAAACATCTGGGGATCCAAAGGTTGAGAACCACTGCTCTAACAATTATGTTGGGTTTTTTTTAAAGGAGTGCTTTTGGGAGATGGGTGGATACAACAGTTGGGTCCAGAACTTACATGTAGCTCATGGCCCACACTTCTGAAGTTCAGAATAAGGTATGGACAAATTTATCACTTCACTGTTATGGAAGCCACAGCCTTCCAGTAGGAAATTCTCGCCTCTATATCTCCTTTCCAAAGAAAACACGACTGGCTTCTAATGTTTGCAACGAAAATTAAAATTGCATCTTTGAATGGAGAAGACTAAAGAGAAACATTAAACCAATAGGTATATCTTGGTGGCCATATATGTGATACATAAACAGGAACAGAAATAGGCATGAGGGCTCAGATAAACCAACTTTACTGCAATTTTTAATATAAATATGGCTATGGGAAATAAAGGTAACAACGTTGATTCTTACCATGGACTTCCAGATCAAAAGAGCAGCTATCAACCTTATCTTTATATGTCACTTCACATCTGTAATTTCCTGCATAGTTTTCTTTGGCTTTAATGATATGCATCTCAAACGTATAAATCTGAAATCCACACAACGAAAATGTTAGTTTAAATTTAAGAGAATATTCAGGTGTTAAACATAACAAGAATGCAAAAACCAAATTCTATACTTTGGCTAAGATTAGGGATATATAAATTCGCCTGTTTCCAGTTTCATTTTTACATGTTTTAGCAATATTTCTGTGTGTTTCCATATTAACTAACTTTAGCAAAAAAAAATGTCCCCTAAGTAAGCTGATTTAATCAATTGCTAAATGGTGAGTCAACATTTAGATAAATTCCATTGATGGAATTACTGTTGTCTACTATAGTCAGGATTAACCAGAAGATTTAGACCATTATTTTCAAATTCACATTTAATATTTTGAAATGTTTACGCTACTGAGAGATCGATTCAACATTCAGAGAAGTGTCAAATCCAATGAGTAGCTAGGTTTGAATGTTCAAATTGCTTCAAGTTTCTAGATTTGTTTATATTGGTTAGGAATTTGCAAATACTAAATTCCTCAGACATCTTTATAAGTACCTTGGTTTGCCTTTCAAATGTTTCCTTTAGCTGAAGATGTTTTCCAGCTTTGCTTGCCAGGTCCATCCATTTCCCTTTAAACCACTTAACAGTTGGCTTTCGGAGAAGATCCTGAGCTTCTACTTTGGCTATGAATGTGATATTTTGCCCTTAAAAAAGTAAAATACAGTAAATACCTGGTTGTCTATTATGTATGTCATAATCAATGCAATAAAACTGAGGACATATAAGAAAGTTCTAAAGAAGGTGGCAGTGTCCATCAAATAAACTGTGATGTTGGCAGAACATGTGTTGTCAGGTGGGGATGGTGGTGGAATCTCCTCTCAGGGCCCTTGCAGACAGGCCCAAACAACACCTCAGATAAATTTGGAACAAAGCAGGGGTTCCCTGCATTGTTCCAAATTAATTAGATATCTCCTTAAATCAGGGCCTTCTTGAAAGGCCGGGGTCTAATGGGGTATTGGGTCTGTGGGGACTCACCCCCGGGTAGTCCTGGGACTAACTAGGGGGAGTCCCCACTGCAATCTCTCACCTTTTGGGGATCCAAAAAGCCCTCCCAGCCCCCCATTTCCTCCCCCAAAACTTGCCCCACATGCTTGACAGGCACAGAGAGCTGTGGTGTCACTTCAGAATGATGCTGGAGGAGAGTGAAGGGGGAGGACTAATTCCCCCCTCCTCCAGCATCATTGTAGCCACCTCGGGAGGGAAATCCCGGGGTTGTGGGAGGGGGTGGGGAGAACAACATGGGCAGAATCAGGTTAGTTTAACCTGTTTTCACCTGCATTTTCTGTATGTCTGGAAGTGCCCTCAGGTTCTCATAGCTCATAAAATCCTTCAACATTTCTGGACTCAAACCACATCTGGTTTCTCAACAAAATATTGGTGGGTGTCTGTATCTTCTAGAAGTGAGCTCTCTCTTTTAATCAACTTCTTCAAAGTCAACTTCAACCATTAAAATAGTCTCCTGTGGACTGGGGGTCTATTTTCTATTGACTGTGAAGAACCTAGTAAACCTTCCTAGAGTGAAAATATGTACAACACAACCCCAGTATCTACAGGACCGATATCTACAGTTTCTATTATTCATGCTCAACAGAATATATCCTCTCTAAGAGTTTTTTATGTGCTCCAGCTTGACTGTATGGTATTTTTGGGTCAGAAGCCCTTCACTTCAAGAGAATTTGCTATTATCTGTAGATTCAGTGGAGTCTGGGAACATATTCTCCATGTTAGCGTGGTTGTACTATACGTGGTTGTACTATTACCATTTGGTCAGCTTTATATGTAAGACATATGCTGGTAATGTGCTGAGAATGTGCAATCACAATTAAAATTTATTTATTTATTTTATACGCTTGTATACCGCTAATATCTCAGCCTAAGTCGGCGACTCATTGCGGTTTACAACAGTTAAAAACAATATTCAATTTAAAACATAAAACACATATACAATACAAATTATTGGGCCACCAATAATAATCCCATGCATCTCGTAACTAAAATCACAATCCAAAATTCGTCGTCCATGATTGCCAGTCCTTTAGTCATCAAAATTCGTTGCAACGGATTAACCGAATGCTTGTTTAAACATCCATGTTTTTAATCTCTTCCGAAACACCATCAGCGAGGAGGCTGATCGTACCTCTATAGGGAGGGTGTTCCAAAGCCGAGGGGCCACCACAGAAAAGGCCCTGTCTCTCGTTCCCGCCAGCCGCACTTGGGAAGCCGGCGGGATAGAGAGCAGGGCCTCTCCAGAAGATCTTAGGGTCCTGGTGGGCTGATAGGCTGAGATACGTTCGGATAGATAAGTTGGGCCAGAACCGTTTAGGGCTTTAAAGGCCAACGCCAGCACTTTGAATTGAGCCCGGTAGCATATCGGCAGCCAGTGGAGCTGGTGCAGCAGAGGAGTTGTGCGCTCCCTGCGCCCCGCTCCTGTTAGTATCATGGCTGCCGCCCGTTGGACTATTGGAGCTTCCGGGCTGTCTTCAAAGGCAACCCCACGTAGAGAGCGTTGCAGTAGTCAAGACGGGATGTAACCAGAGCGTGGACTACCGTGGCCAAGTCAGACTTCCCAAGGTACGGTCGCAGTTGGCGCACAAGTTTTAACTGTGCGAATGCTCCCCTGGTCACCGCCGAAACCTGGGGTTCCAGGCTCAGCGATGAGTCCAGGATCACACCCAAACTGCGAACCTGCGTCTTCAGGGGGAGTGCGACCCCGTCTAACACAGGCTGTAACCCTATAACCTGTTCGGCCTTGCGACTAACCAGGAGTACCTCTGTCTTGTCTGGATTCAATTTCAATTTGTTCGCCCATCCAGACTGTCACAGCGGCCAAGCACCGGTTCAGGACCTCGACAGCCTCCTTAGTAGCAGGTGGAAAGGAGAGTGACAGAGTTGGACATCATCTGCGTACAGATGACATCGCACTCCGAAACTCCGGATTATCTCGCCCAGCGGCTTCATGTAGATGTTAAACAACATGGGAGACAGTATTGAACCCTGAGGAACCCCACAAGACAAAGGTTGTGGGGTTGAACAGGAGTCTCCCAGTAACACCTTCTGAGACCGACCCTCGAGGAATGAGCGGAGCCACTGCAGAACAGTACCTCCAAGACCCATCCCCGCGAGGCGTCCCAGAAGGATACCATGGTCGACGGTATCGAAGGCCGCTGAGAGGTCGAGCAGCACCAACAGGGACACACTCCCCCTGTCGAGCTCCCGACGCAGATCATCCACTAAGGCGACCAAAGCTGTCTCGGTACCATGCCCCGGCCTAAAGCCAGACTGTGCCGGATCCAGATAATCCGTGTCTACCAAGAATGCCTGGAGTTGTGAGGCCACCACACGTTCCATGACTTTGCCCAAAAAGGGGAGATTGGAAACAGGCCGATAGTTGACGAATTGAGTGGGGGCCAGTGATGGTTTCTTCAACAGCGGTTTTATCACAGCTTGCTTTAAGCTGGCTGGAATTTTGCCCTCCCGAAGGGAGGCATTAACCACCACCTTCACCCACTCGGCCAATCCCCCTCTGGCCTCCTTCAGAAGCCAGGATGGGCAGGATGCATGTGGTAGCTCTCATTCCTCCGAGCACCTTGTCCACATCCTCGGATTGAACCAATTGAAATGAATCCATCAAAACCGGACAAGCAGATGCTCGTGTTACATCCTCAGATACTGCCGTTAATATGGTATCCAGTCCAGAGCGGATCAAAGCGACTTTGTCTGCAAAGAACCGAGCAAAGGCTTCGCAGCGAGCTGCCGAGTCATCAGGGCACCCATCCTGGGTGGCGGGTTTTAATAGGCCTCTGACAACTCGGAACAGTTAGGCCGGACGGTTCTTTGCAGACGCAATAGTGGCCGCAAAGAAAGTTTTCTTTGCGGTTTTTATTGCCGCGGCATATGCCCTTAAAAAGGACACAAACCGTGTTCGATTTGGCTCGCTCGGATCCGAATGCCACACGCTCTCTAGTTCCCTCTTCTTTCGCTTCAACGCTGCCAGCTCCTCGGTGAACCAAGGAGCTGGTTTAGCTCGGCTACTTGAGAGGGGACGTTCTGGAGCGATCGTGTCTATTGCCCTAGTCATCTCCCCATTCCAGAGAGCTAAAATGTTGTCAACTTTATGTGGCACATATAAGCAGTCTACTCCTATATATGTTTGCTCTCCAAGGATCCCCGCCAAGCTTAATTGTGATCATTTTCAGGTAAGCATGTACAAGTCTTTAACTGTTCCTATACACTTAATGTACATTTCTGGAAAGAATGTACATTCTGCTTTTCTAGTACTTAAACAGAAAGTAAAGTAATTATAAAATGCAGTAAGATTCTTAAACAGTAACATTACAAGCAGTCAGATAAAACATTAGATTTAACAAATTTGGTTTTTCTTTTTCTTTTTGATGTCAACTTACCAACACTAATTGAGCCGCTCTTTGGTTTTTCAATAAATAAAACAGATTTCTGAGAATTGTCTTGCTTTTCTGCTTCTTCTGGGACACCATCACCCATTGACCACACTAATATGAAAAAGGTGAATATCATTTATGGGCTATAAAAGTTTTAAAAAATCTTTATTTTGGCTTGATATGTCCCTCATTTCATGGACAATGAGAAATCCTTATGCAGAGCTTGCATTCTTACATTTTAAACAAAATTGGTTACTTTACTCATTACTCAGATCAGTCAACATTTCATTATTTGTAATTGTTACTGAAGTTCAACAACTTAATGAGTTACTTATTAGTAACTAGTTATCGTTGTCATTGCTATGGATGCATTGAAAAATACAGGGGGGGGGGGGTGCTCTTTAGTTCCCCTAAATGGCAAGTTCAGATACTGCACCTTAGAGCTTGTGAGACTAATGCAAGGTGTTATGAAGCCATTCTTTCCAGCTGCATCATGAGATAGTGATACTTTATACTTTTCATTCTTCCTTTCACGTTGCTTCAACTCAGTTAGCATCCAGACACACAGTAATACATAACAGGTAGATAATCTTCTTGTACTACAAGCATGTCATGTGTGTGTAGGCTCCTCCAGCCAATGCTAGCCAATTGCCATTAGTTTCACAAGTTTGAGCTCCAGACTTGCCTCCACCTCTTCCTCTTCATTACACCAGTCTTCTTTCCAGAGGTCCAGACAACTTTTCCTGGCATTCTGGAGGTTGTGGTCAACTGCCAGATAGCAATTGAGAAGGGAAGGACCTTCTCCAGGTGGGCATAACAGGTCATACACAGGGAAAATTAATATACTTTCCTCAGCCATCTTTCACTATTTTGACTTGTCCTCTCCACTCTCCTGCTCTTAGGTACTGATTTATGTTATGTATGCAGTTCTTTATATATCACAACTTTAGTGGTGAACATGGAGCTGGACCTAGTGTTGGAGGAAATAAGATCCTTCCATCTTTCTTCTTTTTTAAGGAGACTGTGGAGATTAAGTTCGGATCAGGGTCTATTGGATCTGCCTTTGAGGAAACCACAGATACCCACGTGGATCCCACAGCTGTTACACCATGGTTGTCCATAAGCAGGCACACTGAAAAACAGATTTCTGGATCTGTGCTTCATGCTTGTCCAACACTGTATAGTTAAATAATCATGTTGCGCTATTTATTTATTTAAAACTTATATCCCGATTTTCTCACCTCCGTAGAGGGACTCTACGGAGGTGAGAAAATTGGGATATAAAAGTTTTGTATGTTCTGTAACTATATAATTTATGTATACTTTAGTATCCCATTTCAGTTTTTCTATTGAAAAGTTGGTTGCAATATTCATTCAAGAATCCTGTGCCTGATTTTCCAAATCTATCTTCTACAGCAATACGTGACTGGAAGTACCAATGTATGGTTTTACGCTCCACAGGTTCATGAAAGCAGGAATATATGTTTTCACTCTAGTGAGGTGAATGACAAATATTTGTTTATCAGAAGCTCTGTTTACACACTGGAACCTGTGAAATTATAGAATCATAAAATCGTAGAACCCTAGAGCTGGAAGAGACCACAAAGGTCATCCAGTCCAACCCCCTGCCATGAAGGAACACAGAATGTTTGAAGCAGAATCATGACCTCAATCAGAAGCAGATACAAAAAATAAACCAAAGGTTAGCATGGCATAGGATATAAAATTAGAAGTCAGAGCAAAAGAAACTGAAGAAAAGTTAGCTGAGAGAAATCAGTTGTTAAGCATTGCCATGTTATGGGGAAAATTGGAATACTTTTTTGTTGTTTTTTCCCCTTCCACTTTGTTTTAGAAACTCTCACCTGAGTCCTTTCTCTCTCCGGACTCATTTGTCCCATCTGAAAGGTAAGAGTATACTAGATGATGCCAATTCAACAATTACACTTTGATTGTTGTTCATTCTCATCCTATCTCAGAGAAGAAACTGTAGAACGTTAAGCTGAATCTAAATCTCTGCCCAGATCAGATAATAGGGAAAAGCAATCCTGTGACCTAGACAGAGTTTTTTCTGTTTAGATCATACCATTTTCATATACTACCTTGAGCCCATTCCTGAAATATCTTTATTAAATTAATAACATATACCCAAGCACACATAATTTCATTCTTCTCAAATCAATTCTGGTCTTTACTTCCTCCACTACTTCCTTGTTGCATAGACTTAGGGTGCATCTACATTAATGCAGTTTGACACCCATTTAACAGCTATGGCTCAATGCTATGGAATAATGGGATCTGTAGTCTGGAACAGCACCAGCACTCTTTGGCAGAGACAGCTAAAGACCTTGTAAAACTACAGCTCCCATGATTCCAACACATGGATCCCTAGGCTTAATGCTACCAATTTCATTCTTTCAGTTAGTCTCTAAGGTGCAACAAGATCAATTTGCATACTGATATTCTAGACTTTGTCTTTGAATTAAAGTAGAACAGTGAACATTTCATCATTAAAGATCGCATCACACTAGAGAAGGAATCCACTTTAAATCCAATTGCTGCCTCCTGCAGAATTCTGGGATTTGTAGTTTAGGGAGGAACCTTTAACAGCCTCACTAAACGACAAACCCCAAAATTCTGCAGGAGGCAGAAACTGGATTTAAAGTGGATTCATTCTGTAGTGTCTTAAGAGTCATAGGATTTGTAAATAAAATCTCCATTCCAAAGCCCAAAATCCAAAATCCACAATAAGCGATACCAGTTTTGGGCTAACCCCAAAGTATAAAATAAAAAGTCTAATTAAATTCACATAGAAACTGCTTGTGAAAGGAGCTCTTACTGTTGTTTTTTATCAATTTATTAGCAAAATTAAATGTAAAATGAAGTAGTCCTTCTAACCTGCAGTCGAAGAGTCATCTTCATCTGCAAAAAGAAATATATAATAATGAAATAAAGGAGGGAAAGGAACAATGCAGAGTGTCCATGATTTTAGTACAAATGAATGAAAACCTGTAATAGAAGGAGGATGGATGGGAGGAACCACGGCAGCTGGAAAACTGGGAATAAGAACTGCAAACTGATGGATAAAGCTTTATGGTGACTGAGCAGTGAAAATGGTCAATTGTAACATTTCACTCGGGTACAAAAATGGGACATGAACTATGATCTGGGATTAAAACGTGGGTTTGGATGAGAGCCTTTGAAGTGGGTTGGTTTGTTAGAAATGTCATCCACAAAATATAAAAAATAAGGAAGGGAAATGGAGTACAAAAGCAAGAACAAAATTTAAAAGCCACAATGAAAATTAAGGTCAACCATAGACCTGACCTTCTGAAGAGGAGGTTGTGTCACTGCTGTTCTCATCTGCAAGTAAAATGTGTACCATGTATACATTCATCACAATGCTTTGGTTTTTACAGAAACAAAAATAGCACTATAATAAGGAGAGAAGAAAGGCTACCGCACTTTGTAACATGGTAGAAGATAATAATAACAATAATAATAGTAATAATAATAATAATAATAATAATAATAATAATTTTATTTATTTTTCATCCCTTTCCCCAAGTATATGAATAGACACAGGCAAACATTCAATGCCTTGTTACATGACATACAGTGAGACACAAACACACAGACAAAGGCAAAGACTTCTCTTTTCATTTCCGGCTCTTGGAGGCAGTACTCATTTCCAGCTCTGGGGGAGGTGCGCTTTCTCCATTTCCAAGCCGAAGAGCCTGTGTCCGTAGACACATCCTGGTCGTGTGGATGGCATGACTGCTTGGAATATCTTTTTGCCTTTTCCCGCTGAAGTGGTACCTATTGATCCACTCACATTTGCATGTTTTTGAACCGCTAGATTGGCAGGAGCTAGGGCTAACAGCAGGAGCTCACCTTGTCCCATGGATGCCAACTGCCAACTTTCAGGTCAGCAGTTCAGCATCACAAGGGTTTTAACCCGTTGAGCCATTGCAAACTCAGTTATGATGTCTAAATAAGAACTATTATCATTTTTATGAATTTTAATATTTTCAATCCTATGAACATTCATAAACCAACACTCTTCAAATTCTGCTCCTTTAAATTGAATTATTCATAGAAAAGTCCTGAAAGTATAAATGGAATTCCATCCTGAATTAATACACTCTCTGATACTTTATGAAATACTTCTTTCTTTAAATAATTGCACCCTTTGCTTTATTTGACTTATTGTTGTTGCTGTTTATTTGTTCAGTCGCTTCTGACTCTTTGTGACCAGCTCACGCCAGAGCTCCGTGTCAGCCGTCGCCCCCCCCCCCACCAGCTCCTTCAAGGTCAAGCCAGTCACTTTTACTAATTTTACTAATTACGATTGCTAATATAATAAAAATCCTATTAAAATGAAATACTTTTCAAATGAACAGTGCCTACAAAATGATAAAAATGAAAACTAGACTTGAATATTATCATCTAGAAAGAATTAATATATAGCCTTAGTTCTCAGGAAAAAAAATGTTTGTACTGTAATACTGTACACTATTTCAATTAACTAATGACTTCTACTAAACTCAGCTGTATCTAGTTTGACATATATAGTATGGTGCTCTCTCTCTCTCTCTCTCTCTCTCTCTCTCTCTCTCTCTATATATATATATATATATATATATAAACTGTAAATCATTATTACTAGAATAATACTGCTTTACAAAGTGACATCAATCCCCACGAAAAGCTAAAACATAAGGGTTGATAAAGAGTGTTGAAAATTGTTCAGCCCAATTACTCTTTTTGTCATCTGTTTTCAAAACAGATGATATGTGTTTGAAGAATTTTTGTAACATTTTGGAAAGTTAGACAGTCTGTGTCCACCCTATATACATTAATGCATTGATGACAGTTATCCTCGGGTACATTAAATTGATTCTGAAAGGTTCCTAAGTAAAGAACTCAAGTCACACCAGGAAAAAGCAGAAATCATTAAAGAACAAATGGAGTACTTCCAGCCCTCTATACTTATTTATCCATGTAATACAAATATATTGCAATATTTTAAACTAAAATAATTTGGACTAGCTGCATGTTGATCCTGTTATACTTCAGTAATTTTGTTTCTGTTTAAACAAACAAGTAAATAGAGTCAGAATTAAATCATATGAGTAATTCCATTCTTACTTAAGTATTTAAGCCCAGAGAAAGGCTCCAACTCTACAAACTCTACAAACATAGAAATTTGGATGGTATTTGTTAGCCTGGGTCTTGTTCTAATCCTTTGTCTTTTTAAAATAAGCACATTTAAAAATAGTCCTTTAAATAGCATCCTTTCAAACAGAAGTTTTCTTCTGCCTTCTGTATTTATATATTTTTTACCAGGTCAAGACATGTTTTTGGCTGGTTAATTTCCAGATTCTTACTTTTAATTTGCACTGAAAGGGTAGTTAGGGGCCAGGGATACTGCCAATTAGATCCAGCAACACCAGTAAAAAAAAAAGAAGCTATATTTAACCCTCTAGACACTTTCAATTACCATTTCAGTACCTCTCCCACAGTTTCTGTTTGTGTAATGGAAAATATAGAATTTGCTTCTAATGTGGTAAACAGTACTGTAAATGGAAAAAGGAATAGTTAAGTAGGCTCTCCTTGAATACCACTGATATAAGCTAATTGGATTGTTTGAAAGAATAAAATAATTTCTGCATTTTGCTGTTATTCCTCCCATCTATGTAGCCATCGTGGAAACATTCCTCATTTATGAAATGGGAAGTGAGGAGGGGGAATAACCAGTGAAAATGCGGGAAATGGTTTTCCTCCTTCAACTCCCCTCCACCCATAAAATGGATTATCCTTCTCTGTCTAGTGCCCCCTTTTGGCCTCTGCTCGGATAATGGAATAGTACCAAGGAAAGAAAAGATAGTCATGAATAACGACTCTTGTGTCTTGTTAGTGTTGGAGTTCAGCCTGTGATTGTGTCTAATGATCAGGGTACTCTGGATGTTGGGAATGACAATGATGTTTCGGAGGGTCATGTACCTAATGATGTTTCTAATGATGAGGTTGCCTTAGATGCAGAGAATGACAATGAGAATCCTGTTCAAAGTGTCTTTTCTGATGAAAATGTTCCTCTCTGCATAATACAACTCTTGCATAATAATAAATAATTTTTTCAGATAAGAAGACAGGGTGGTTCTACACAAACACTACAATCTGTTTTTGAAGTGGATTAAAACAAGTTGGTTTCACTATGCAGCGTCTACACAAATACTCCAGGAACGGCCACAGTATCTGATGATTACAGATTGGAAATTAGTCCAGAAACTGCAATATCCATGGCTAGGGAAGCTGCTGGAAAATGCAGGGTATTTTTCTTAACAAGTAAGCTGAAATGTGCTGATGTGCATATCCATGTCCGTTAGGGATTACCCAGTTTTGAGCCCTGCATGGGATATACTCTGATTGACTGCAGTGCATTATCTGGCTTATTATGGACTTTCAGGTAAGTTTGTTTGACTCCTTGTTTCTGGCTTAATCTGTGCTATAGTGTACATTGGGGGTGCACATTTTGTGGACAGCTCACTCTCAAGCTGGTGCCAGACTGAATTAAAGTGTCTGTGTAGAACTACCCAGAATCCCAATTTTGAGTTGCTGCATTTCAAAAATATGTGATGAAAATCCTTGAAGGAACAGATGTCAGTAATATATCTCTTCATCCTCTTATACTTATTGACCCATATCAAACAATCACAACAGAGATGATTTCATATACTCATAAACACTTTTGGATGAACAAATCTCAAACATTCAGAACATTGGCAAATTCCATGAACTGCAAGATGGCATGAAGATGCTGATATTCAAAGAATATCATGAAAAATGAGAGCTGAATGTTTAAATTATATAAATATTGTGCTCACTGGGCAGAAGGCAACAATTGGATCCAATGACTGCCAAATAATCACAGTCACACTCTACTGCCTCTTAGTACAGTGTAAATTACATTCACACTCTACTGCCCCGTAGATGGAAGGGGAAACATTTTTGGCTTCTTCTGGACCTTGGGCCATCTTCTTACCTTTCCAACAAATCAAATACACAATGACAAATCATGTACCCCAAATTCCTTCAGAGAGTCAATTTGTCATTTAAAAGTAACATCCCCCATGTCCACATTTTAAAAAAAATGTTTTTGGAAATCAGAAGTGATTTTAAAGCTGTTTTCAGGGAGGTGATCTGCCATTCTTTGGGTCACTGGTAGGCACTGGAGGAGACCCTGGGAGCTGCCCATACTGTTTTGCCTTTTTCACAATAGTGCATTGCTTATGGCTGATGGCAGAATTAAATAATTTGTTTAGCTCAGTCAGCACAATAAATGCAATGTCATGCTTGTTATCCAAATGGAAGATGACAGTCACATAGAAGAGTAATCTAGTTTGCTGCTATCTTGTTGAAAGACTTGAGAAACTAGAACAAAAAAGCAGTTATTTGGTGTGCAACACGACAATTGCAGGTTCACTCATCAGTAGAACCTATTTTTTTCAAAACGGAAAAAGTTAATACCAACCACTCTTGTTCATTTCCATGATATTAAAAAGTGGTGTGTGACATCTATGGACATCAAGGTTACAAATAGCAATGGAACTGCTTTGAAAGATGGGATGGGAAAAGAAAACCTGGAAGCAAAACATCTTTTCTAAAACTTTAGTTATTGCTTCACCAAAATATGAATGACTGCTTCATCAAAATGGAGAAATGGTACAGCCATGGTGATCCATTTAAAATTAGAAAATGATTATCTAGACTATGTTAGCAATGTCATCTTTTCAAAAGAATATCAGACCTGATGGTAGAATTACGATCATTATGTCACTCTCCTTTTCTTCTGAAAGTAGGAATGGAACAAAATAACTTTAACAGTGAAACTCATGAAAAAGATGTAGAAAAAAAAGGATAACATTCTGGTACAAATAGACTCACTTATGGTCAACAAGAGATATATCAATAGATCAGGTTCAACCCTCACAAATTAAGAAATTTGATATCACTTGAGTTTCAATGGATCATTGCATGTTTACTCTCATCCTTTCAGCCTGACCAAAACTGAGCAAGTTTCCCATTGATTAAGACTAGTATAGCTGTCGCCTTTAGCAGTATGGTGATCACAACTGGACTGAAGACCCATTCAGAAGAATTCAGTGATTCCTTCTGTGTGAAATAATGGCATATGATACCATGGTATTCTTCTGTAATTAAATCAATCTAATAAAAGACTACTGTGGGGCATTGTTCGTATGCAGTGGGTAGAAAACAATGTACTTAGAATGTTGGCTGGCAAAATCTACGACTCAGAGTATGATAATGTGCTTTATGACAGTTCCTACTCATTCCTTGGGGAAATATATTTGATCTTGCCAAAAGACTATTGACATGAAGACTATAAATGAATAGCGGATAACTGGTTTACTTGTTCATGACTTGAGGTGGTTCTTCATTCTGTCTATCATGTACAATTTGTTTTCACAACTTAATTTGATGTTTTTATTTTGTAATTAAGATTTCTTTGTAAAACACAGCAAGAAGGGCATAAAAGTTTTCTAACTGACCTTCAAAACACTTTAATTACTCATATGAAACAGAAAAAAGTGCTAAAAGAAATTGCACTGTAGCATCTGCACCCATAGTTAAGTAACAACTGAACTGATAAAAATAAAGAATTTGTGAAATAACTCTCGGGTGACATTTTGTTGTGTTTTCTTAAAAAAATCAGCACCCCAAAATACATTTAAAACAGCTACAATATTGAGAATGTTTGTTCATCAGAGACCTGTCAGGAAGACAAACTGCATTACTCTCAATCGCAGATTCACTTCTCATTTGTTTGTTCAGATTTTGTGTTTAAATCTTTAAAGATACAAAAACCATGAAATACGAATGCTGTCTGCCAAAGAATATTGCTCAGCAGTAGCCATCTATTCCAGTACGATGGTATTTTGGACTGTTCTTACAAACCCATAAAACAAATTGAGAGACACATTTTGGAATGATATCTGTTGAAGAATTTTGAAGATTATGTTATTTGATTCCAAACTGCTTTCCTTTTGGGTTGGGCAATAGCATTCAAGCAATAATAAATGTACTTCAGGGGGAAAAATTATTTCAAATTCTAGAAATTAATAACAACATTTTAATTCAAAGCCTTTATTTCAGGGATGGTCCATCTTTGGCCCTCCAGATATTGATCATTAGCCTTGACTATGCCTTTTTTTTTAATGCCAGGAGCGACTTGAGAAACTGCAAGTTGCTTCTGGTGAGATAGAATTGGCTACCTGCAAGGACATTGCCCAGGGGACACCTAGATGTTTTACCATCCTGTGGGAGGCGTCTCTCATGTCTCTGCAAGGGGAACTGGAGCTGACAGAGGGAGCTCATTCGCGCTCTCCCCAGATGCAAACCTCTGACCTGTTGGTCTTCAGTTCTGACGACACAAGGGTTTAACCCAAGGGTTCTCAAGCTAAGGCCCGCGGGCCAGATGCAGCCCTCCAAGGTCATTTACTCAGCCCTCACTCAGGGTCAACCTAAGTCTGAAATGACTTGAAAGCGCACAACAACAACAAAAATCCTATCTCAGCAGCCAAAAGCAGGTCCACACTTCCCATTGAAATACTAATAAGTTTATATTAGTTAAAATTGTTCTTCATTTTAATTATTGTATTGTTTTTAAGTGTTTTATATGCACTACAAATAAGATATGTGCAGTGTGCATAGGAATTCATTCATGGTTTTTTTTTCAAATTATAATCCAGCCCTCCAACAGTTTGAGGGACTGTGGCCTGGCCCTCTGTTTAAAAAGTTTGAGGATCCCTGGTTTATCCCATTGCACCTCTTGACTGTGCTGACTTAGTGTAATAGGCGTTGTGTAACTCCTTTATGGTAACACTTTAGGTACAACTTAGAAAGCACTTTTCTTTTATATAATGCAATGAACTCCCTTGGATGCCATGCATGGAAATATAGAGAAAAGTGTAACAAACAGATGAAATGGATAAACTCAATTTGGAGTTTGAATATTTCCCCAAATTTCTATTGCCACCTCTTTGATTGATGATTGCATTGTTTACTATTTAAGATGGGTGGGGACAAATTGTTTAGAATTTATGGGCTGTGTGGCTTAGACTTCCACCAGTCCTAATGAAATTGTATATATCCCACACCCAGCTCTTTCATAGTTGGCTCATGAACTTTAAAGCTAATAATCTACATGCTCTAAAAAGACAAATTGAGATTGTATGCAGAGATTATATGGAAACATCAATCAAAGATGAAACATGGATAGGTTTTAACATAGCAGGATAAAACCTAGAGGGATGATGTCAAAATGAAGCGCGCACACAGCTTATTAGAGGATTGCCTGTATGGAACCTAAAGAGAAAAATGAGCACATTAATTTTTCAATGTCACTTCAGGAGAGAAGCACAGAGTAGAAGCTAAATTTTCTACATGAAAATGAAGATGAAGAAAAGCACATTAAGGAATGAAACCCATGAGAAAACAATGGTAGTTAAGCAAAATTATTCTAGATAAAAAAGACAGATGGAATGGATCCCCAGAGTACACGTGGCATGACGATGGTGGCTACCAATACAGGTATTCCATAAATGAAATACTGGGTAGATAACTAAGCCTGAAATCCTGTGCACACTTTCCTAGGAATGGGCCTTTGATGGAGCTTACTTCCGAAAAGATATATATAAAAATTGCATCGTATAAGAGCTTCACCAAATGAAAATACTGCCTGGTTTTCTTGATAATAAGAAGAAATAAGAAGCAGTTAGAAAACAAAAGAGAGATACAGGATTTGTAAAGAAAAACTACCAGCTTCACCTTAATTGTTATTCTCAGCTGTGGCAAGACTCATTGAATCAATGGGATTTATGCAAGTGTTGATTTCCCAGTCAGCAAATGATGCAATGGGTCTAGCTAATAAGAATAAGTAGATTAAAGCTTCTATCCTCACTGTAGTTTGGAATATAATAATAACAATAAAATACTTTATTTATATAATAGTTTCCTGGACATAATACTTAAAACTTGTACATGTCAAACAGAGTTTTGCTTGTTTGCAACGCATTATAGAAGGCTGTAGGAGAATTAGGCACTTCTAAGGCAGACAGCTTCCAGATATTGTTCAGCTAATCCAAAATTTCCTCCACCAATGTTTTGATGGTAAGGAAACCCAAGAAGGGGAAAGCAGGGAGAAAATATGGGAGGCGCTTTGTCATCTAGATACCTTGAAAATGTTGTGATTCAGATAAGATAATTTCACAGTTAAAACTCAATCTTGAACCATCCTAACTCTAAAACCATGCACTTGATACACAGAAATAGTAGTTGGGAGGAGAATTCAGCATACATGAAGTTCTTGATGGGAGAAGATATGTGGTTTTGATTCACATAATCTTTTCAGCTTGTAACCTGAGAGATAATGATTTCCATGTTCATGCAACAGTACCTTGGCTAGGGTTTTTGGTCCAAATGTTAAAGGAGCTATCCAAAACACTAAACCTGGGTTGGAATTTGGATGGCTTCTTTAAAGTTTGTTCTAATATCTAGAGTGAATTTATCATCATATTGGAATGGGAGGCCCCACTGCATGCAGGACCAATTGAGCTCAGTGGCAAATGATACCTCTTAGGTTACTGGGGCAGTTTTAAATTCAACTTTAAAAAAAGCTATCCAAGGTGCTGAACCTATCTGGGAACAGGGTTCACTCCCATTGACCTGGAAACCACTAGCTGCCACAGACTTAGCTTGAAAATGAATAGATAAGCACAGAGAGTTTCAGGACATTTTCCAAGGGTAGTTATTTCAGCAGCTCAACACTATTAAAGCATGACTCATGCCCAGGTATATGCTTTCCAGGAAGGGAAGCAACTAGCATACGAAGGGAGCAAACATGATCTCCCACTTTATACACAGCCTGACCCTAAAACATTAGGGCAGTTCTGAAAAGTGCAAAAACACCTTAAAAAAAAGAAATTTAATTAAAGCTTGGCTGTGAAAAGAAGAGAGAAGACACAAACAATGACTTTTATGTAGTATATGCTAATACTTTATCAATTTCGAACTTATGTGAGAACACTTCTGCTCACCTTTTCCTGGGGCAGTTCCATCTTCCTGAGGTTTGTTTTGCTCTGTGAAGCAAAAGCACATTTTGAGAGAAACACCCCAATCCCCAACATTTCTGCTTACAAACCTACCTGCAATGCTGTCACATAACATACATCATTTTAACATACATAACATACAGCATTTATGTCTCAAAACATGAATGGCCAAAAAGGTTGTAAAAGTTAGACCATTGATTCAAAATGAATAATTTTTTTAATTATAAGAATTAATTAAATTATTTTAATATATAAAGTAGATTAGAATGAAGGGATATTCTCTCCCTGTGGTAGAAAGCATGCTTTGCATTCAGAAAGTTGCCAGTTCTCTCTGTTGTTAAAACGTTGTTTGGTGCAACTAATAGAAAAGACTACTGTCTGATAGCAAGAATGGCAATTCAGAGCCCTTTCACACTACACAATAACTGTGCCACTATGCTTCCACTTTAACTCTCATGGCAGCATCCTATGGAAACCTTGGAAATGTGATTTGGTGATGAACTACAGCTCCCTGACATAGAACTCTAAATATATTTTCCTAAACTCCAAATCTCTGGATTCCATAGGATGAATGGCATATCACATTGTGAAGTGTGAAGTACTCCTCCTTCAAGTAATTTTATTACATATGGCAAGCATGGGTCAAGACATTTTGCTGTCCAAAGCAAAAGATAAGATGGTGCCTCTTCCTTTTCCTACCCCAAGACTAACTGGACTGGTAGTTGAATCATACTTTGGTGCAAGAGATGGGGTACTGTTTCCCCAGTACACTTGATGAAAGCAGGATTTTTGGGGTACAATGAATGTTGCTACATGGCCAGAGATTTGGGTGGGTCTGGAAATTTTAAAGCAAAAAAGTAACTTGTTTATCTCCCAAAATTGCTTTTTTTTTTGGACTACTGCTTCTATAATCCCTCTGTGCACAGTAAAGGCTTTACTAAGTATGGGGATTCTGGAATTTTGTTATACAAAATAAGGAATGTTTCCAAATTTTGATCTAGATAACATTTTTGTATCATTTCTCATCTGCTTGAAGAACCAAACCAGAACTTAAATAGTGTCCAAGTGTGTATTTGCTATTGTGGTAATTGGAGTAACTGCTTGGTTTTAACCATCTGGAGCTTCCTGTTGTGACCAACACATCCTTCCCTGTGGTGAATCTCTTTGAAATTTCTCTGCAGTTGAAATGCCAGCAGCTGTTTTTCTGTGTTCAATGAAGAAACTGCCTGTCTGACTATATTTTTCAGCAGTAGGTTGCACTTTACAGCAAAATGCTTCATGCTGATATCAGTGAGTTCCAACAGTTTGAGAAAAGATTTGCTCTTATTTACTACAATGCCCCCGATACCCACTGGGCTTTGATTCCAGGACCCCCATGGATATCACAATCCATGAATGTTCAAGTCCCATGATACACACACAGTGGCCTAGTAAAATGGCGTCCCTTATATAAAATGATAAAAGATAAATTTATGTTTTTAAAAATGTTTCTGAATATTTTAAAGTTGTGGATAGTTGAATCTGTGGATATGGTGGGCTAACTGTAACAGATGGCAGTTTCTGCTTTATCATCTCAATGTCAGAGAAGATTTAGTCCTGAAGCCAAGGAAAGAGTTTGTGGCAATGCACCAGAATCTGTAGACCTTATCGCACCAAAGAATGTATCACTTTGAATCCAATTGCTGCCTCCTGCAGAATTCTGGGGCTTGTAGATTAGGGGAGTGACCTTTAAAGTGCTCAGCTGGAGAAGTCCTGGGCCTCACTAAACCACAAACATCAAAATTCTGCAGGAGGCAGTCACAGGATTTACAGTGGATCCATGCTCTAGTGTGATAAGGAACTATGTGAAGGGTGGGAAAAGTCCTACAGATATTTGGCCTTATCATACTTGCTGCTGGAAGTGCCACAGAGTGTGGCAAATCTAGTGGTGACCATTGGGGGTTGGGAAACCAATGCCCCATGCCCCGCATTGCCAGATTTACCTGAAAGTTCATCATGGGGGAAGCATCGGCCACTTGGCTTCCCGCATTGTTGCTTGTGCAACATGGGAAGCCTCCTGTGTTGCCACAGTTTTGGCATACGTTAGTTCCACTGTAGTTTAGCCATGAAGCCTTGCCTAAAGTTCCTCTGCATCATGGAATGGGAGTTGGTGGGCTCCATGGCTTAATTATTGCTGAACCAGCATCTGATTATGTCGTTAGTTGGGTTGCAATGTATAGAATTCAAAAATGTCACAATGTTAGTCTGGGGGCCCTTTCACATAGCCCTATATCCCAGAATATCAAGGCAGAAAATAGCACAATATCTGGTTTGAATTGGGTTATCCTGCCTTGATATTCTGGGATATAGGGCTGTGTGGAAGGGCCCTGGTTTAGTATGAAAAGAGATCTTGTACCACATTTGAGACTAAGGAAATCTGTATTGATGAACACCAGATTAAGCCAATGAAAGCTTATGTTACTAACTTCTTCCTCTCCAATGATGCCTTTGCAGTTTGTATTAACCAGTACAACCAGTGTAAAAGTTATGACGTTACTACACTGGGGCTTTAAAGCAGGCAGCTTCACATGTCTGTTCCTTGCAGAATTCTGGGAAATGTAATTTAGGACAAGGCCTTTTGAATTTTCATCTATTGAAGTCCTTACCTTCCCAAACTACATTCCCAGAATTCTGAAGGTGGCAGAAATGTATAGCTGCCCACTTTAAAGCCCTGATTAGACATACTTGCTATCAGAATAACAATAGCATGCATACAGAATGCTTTCTAAATCTGCTTTATATACACAAGCCAATTACTATTTTGTGCTGAAGACCTTTGGTTGCCTAAACCAATGAAGGTCTTTGTATACAAAGGACAGAGATGCACAATAAGAAGAAAATTTCATAATGTGTTGAGGAGAGATACGGTTCCAGATAAGCATACATTTCATTGCAACCTTGGTTAATTTACCATTTATTGTTATAACACGCATAACTTGCAATGTTACACATGCATTCTAACAATAGTAAATGTACACCACTCAATAAATTGGGACACACATAGAAATTCTTTTTGGGGGAATTTAGGGGAGGGTTATAATCCAAGAAAGTAACTTTCCAAAACTCTGCACATTATAGTTTGGATCTTGACAAAATTCAAGCTTTTTCTTAACTGACCTGGAGGGAGTATATTCTCTGTTTCCGTTTCATCTGAAAATAAAAAAAGAAGTACTTTTAGCAGATAATTGATATTAACAGATAAATACATTAATACTGCAGGTAATCTAATATATAGTTGATAGATCTGTGTGTAAGTTAGGTTTGCCTCCAAGAGATATCTATTTACCGCTGATCAAACTATTCCCATTTGGTTTTTTTGTATGTTTTTCAAATTCCATTTACAATTATCATTCTCGGGGAGAGTCAATGTCCAATCGACAGAAAAACAAAGCAACTGAGAGCAAAACAAGTAAAGTGAATCAACAGAGAAATACACAGTATGATAAACCCATGGTATGGACTCAATGTGTATGTATGTATAGTCACCCAGAGTTTGGGTGTTGCTGTAACCGATCAATGGGTTTGTTTCTTTTCTTGTGTCAGGAGCAACTTGAGAAACTGCAAGTTGCTTCTGGTGTGAGAAAACTGGCCATCTGCAAGGACATTGCCCAGGGATGCCTGGATATTTTAGTTTTTGATATTTTACCATCCTTGTGGGAGGCTTCTCTTGTGTCCCTGCATGGGGAGCTGGAGCTGACAGAGGGAGCTTATTCATACTCTCCCCAGATTTGAACCTCTGACCTGTCAGTCTTCAGTTCCCATTGCGCCACAGGGGGCTTCTGATTGGTGGGTTATTTTGACGCAATACGGATAAGCAGTATGGAGGGGATATGGCAGAACTGACTCTAAAAAAGGAGCTCATTTTGCAGATTTACGTCCTATACAAAACTTGGCCAGGTCCATAGAAACAATAATAATCATAATAATAATCCCATTTTAGCTAATCTAAGAAAAGATTAATAAAGCAGAAAAACTGACACATCAAAATTTAAAACCAGATTCTCGATTTTAAGCAATATAGCATCATGATTTTATTCTATATACTAATTGTATGCCATACTATTCATTAAAAAGACTCATGCCACAATATTTATCAGACCTGTTCATGAGATTATGAAACACTGGTTAAGCATAAAATGTTATGTTAACCATGTAGAACTCCTAACTATCAATAGATTTCACTTATATTATCACCAGCAAGAAAAGGGGAAAATATGTTGAATACACATGTCTATCAATAATCATACTTCTGCTTTTCTTATTCTTAGTTGTATCTCTTTTTGCTTACATTTCAGGATATCATGCTTTTATAGTACTTTGAAAACATGAATTTTTAGTAATTGTACAGGAATGAAAACTGATGCTTTGTGAAATATTGTTATTACAGGTATCATTTATACAGCAACAGCATCAACATGTGTTGTGCATTGCTCTATATTCTTATGCTCCTGCTCCTCTGCTGCTTAACATTTACATATCATCCACATTAACTTTTGGTTTCCCTAATATAATAATAATAATAATAATAATAATAATAATAATAATAATAATAATCTTTATTTATACCCCGCCACCATCTCCCCCAATTGGGACTCAGGGCAGCTTACATGAGGCCAGGCCCAAACAACAAATTACAGCAAAGTAAAACCAAAAACACAAGCAACAGCATCATAATTACATAATCATAAAAGAAAATATATATAAATACATTAGCAATATAAAATTACAATCACAGTGACAATGGGCGGGCCACATGGGCAGAATAAAACAATTAAAAACTTGGGTGAGATAAAAGGAGGAGCAGGTTATTTGCAAGGGGAACTAATTGGTTGGAACCAAGCTTTCCCACAAGGGGGAGGGGACGGACGGACGTGTACTCCAATGACAGAAATGTTGAGACTGAGTGATAGTGTGAAGTTATGTACCTACTTACCAAAGGTGCATCAGAAGAGCGCATTGATGTTGCTGAAAATCATAACATTCAAATCTCTTCTCAAAATGAAGATCACAATTTATAAAGCTGAACTCATACTGTTGATTGCTCCATCCATCGCTAATGACTCTGTCCTAAAACTGGATCCAATACTGATAGGACTGAGAGCCTCTTGTAAACACTTCATCACAACAGAAAATAAATCCATTTAAAATCCTGTTTCTGCCTCCTGCACAATTCTGGGGTTTGTAGTTTAGAGAGGCTGTTAAAGGTTCCTCCCTAAAATGCAAACTCCAGAATTCTGCAGGAGGCAGCAACTGAATTTAAAGTGGATTCATTCTCTAGTGCAGTGGTTCTCAACCTGGGGTCCCCAGATGTTTTTGGCCTACAACTCCCAGAAATCCCAGCTAGTTTACCAGCTGTTAGGATTTCTGGGAGCTGTAGGCCAAACACATTTGGGAACCCCAGGTTGAGAACCACTGCTCTAGTGTGATGAAGCCCTTATTATTTATTTACTTCATTTTTACCCCTCCCTTCTCACCCGTAGGGACTCAGGTAAGGACACAGGCGGTGTATGACAATATCAGGCAGGGCCATCCAAAAACATTTTCCTTCCTGATGTGAAAAAGGAAATGCCACCAAATGCTTCAACAGTTCACAGATGATAACTGAGACATGTGTAGTCAAGCAACATCAGAATGTGGTCAAGACAGCAATACTGTTAAATGAGGAGAGATACACAAAGGAAGTCAGGGCACATCTACCCTGCAGAATCAATACAGTTTGACACCGCTTAAACTACCATGGCTCCATTCTATGGCATAATTTTACAAGGTCTTTAGCCTTCTTGGCCAAAGAATTCTGGTTCCAAACTGAACTGCAACTCCCATGTCCACCTAGCACTACACCATGGCATTTACAGTGGTGTCAAACTGCATTAATTATATAGTAAAAATGCACTGCTGTTGATTATTTTGCCCGAGTCTGAAAAATTGGAGAGATTCTTCTTTCTCTTGTCCCCAATTCAGGCAATAGTGGGGGATTCACCACAGATTGTGGCAAATCCAGCGTGAGGCATAGAAAACCCATTGCCCTGTGTGCTGCATCACCCATATTGCCCCTAACCTTTTCCCACAAGGAGAAGTGTTGCCGCTCAGCGTCCCTCCATTATTTTCAATGAAACATGGGAAGCCTTCCATGTTGCCGGCACTGCCTCCTGAGATGATGGCACCTCTCTTCAGGGATGGAGACTCACCGGAACAGGCATGTAGCCAAGGGGGGAGGGGGCTTGAGGGGCTTAACCCCCCCCCCCAAAATTCTCAGGGTGGTCCGTGAGAAAGCCTTACTGGTACATTATTTAAACTGTTATGTTTATTCATATCATGATCTGATCACCATGCTCAATATATCCCATATGCATGGGGGTATTGGGGTAACGATACAAAAGGTTTGCGAGGGTAGACCTTCTTTCACTCAGACTCAGCCCCCCTGAATCAAACTCAGCTCCCCCCGAATCAAAATCCTGGCTACGGGCCTTTACCGGAAGTAGATCAATGTCATGTGATAGGATTCAGCGGGCTCTGTGCCTGGAGAGAGGTGCAAGCATCGTAGCAATTGATTTAAACTTAAGACAAAGGAGGAAAGTTGGAAGAGGAAAGGTAATTTTTAAATGAAAAAGTGGGACAACGGTGTATTAATAAGGATTGTTCCTGCCAAATTCAGACAGTTTGGAGAAATGAGGACACCTGCCCACTCACTCCCACACTTGATAATGTATGTAAGAACCAAAGTCACCTATGCTTCTTTGGCAAATGTCCCCCAGACAACCCCTTTCATCTCTATAACTAAAAACAGAACAGTGAACTAAATAACCAACACTTTTTGACCATGCAAAATATGTTGTGTCACTGTAAATTGGGCAATACTTTTTACCATTGTATCTCTGCCAGGCAGTGAAACGTGTCTATATGTCATAGCACATGCTTTTTCCCATCCATGTATCATGCATTTAGCATACATGAGTGAAGGCTTTGGGGCAAAATTATGGATTTTGATATGACCTGTGGTTAAGTTGAGGGTTAATCGATGGATAGTGGAAAGCATCAACATAATCTCGGGGGGGGGGGGGGGGGGGGGGATCACCATTTCCCCAGAAAGAGTTGAGGGGTCAGTGCATCTTTTAGATTCCCCCAGGATTGACAAAAACTTCATCAGACAAGTCTTTGGCAATGTTGTAGAATGCTTTTGCTCCAGTTGAGCCATGGAGCCCCAAACCGCCCATCACATGCCACAGACACACTGCTGATGGGGCTCCATGGCTCAACTGGGATAGAAGCTTCCTATGATGCTACGTCCAGAATACGGGAGGCTTCCAATATTCCATGAAAACAACAAGTGCAATGTGGGGGGAAGTCATGTGATGATGCTTCCCCCTGTGTAAAGGAGAAGCATTGCTGCGGGCGAGGCAGGGTGCAGGGCACCAGAATTGCCTTGCTGCCCCGCTAATTCACCATAGAGGCTGGCAAATTTCACCGCAAGACCTCATCAATGTGTTGAGGCCCCTAAGCTTCCACCACTCTACTCAGAGAAGTGGGCGATTCCATTCTGATAAGAATATAATGATTACAATTACCATTGGAGAAGTCAACCCATTTTTTTCAAGACATTTTCTGGAGTAAAATTTTTAGACCTATATACAAGCATACTTTTGGTGGTGGTGGTGGTGGTGGTGTGTGTGTGTGTGAGGAGGGCATTGGAAGCAAACATGGGCTTAATTTGCTAAATTGATGTGCTGAAACATACATCTCTGAGAAACTCCTGTTGGAAATGGATTAATCATAGGATATAGAGATTCTCCTAAATGGCAAAAAGCCCTGCCCTAGGATGCTGTCGAGTCACAGCCAGGATGGAGCCCACTGGAGTCCATAACACGACGCAGGGCTACTTCCAACAGGGTTCAGTCTCAGCTCTGCCCTGGCTGCATCTAGGCCACATGTTAAGAGGCTGTCCTGAGAACATGAGCACTCAACCGTATTCTCATTGACTATGCTAAGGACAGTGTGGGACCAAGACGGGAATGCATGTGATGGTAAGGGGATTATGTGGGGCACTGCCCCATGGATTCGCTCCACTGCCCCACCAATGCCCCCTGCCGCCTGACAGATTCTCCCGCTGTCCTCCAGCTTAAGGACCCCCATGTGATGAGGTCCAATGTCTC